AAATTTATTCAGATTGCACAGCAGAGTATTTGAGGTGGTCAATGCCAACTTCTCCCTGGGCTGCCTTGGAGCTGCTGGAAGTGGTCAAAGATTTGCAGCAGGAAGAGGATGTCAAGCTCCCAGCAGTTTTTCATAGCAGAGAATATTGTCATTGCTGCCAGGAGGAGATAAGTGGTCACACACAGGTGAGAACTCACAAGTCAGAAAAACCACATCACAGGTAAGCAGGGGCTGACTTGGCAGTGGATGCACAAAACCAGCACAGCCTGTAGGTGCTGTTATTAGCCACGACTGCAAGAGCAGTACCCAGAGAGCACAAAGAGCAGCAGAAAGGCACCTCTCAGGTGATTAGACAGGCATCACAGAGGGCTCTCCCATCTGTCTTCTCACAGCAAGAGCTCACTGTATTTGTACTACAGAGCAGGCTTCACTGAAAACAAATTTTAAGTTCCATATCCCTCTGGGTAAGCTGTTTTCTGGTGAGGTAGTGTTGACACACAAATATATTCCATGAATCATCAACATTCCCATCTGCCATTTAGTACACTCACATCACAAGAGGGCAGACCTGAACATGAGTACCTGATCTGCAACTCTTTTTCTTGAAAAAAAGTTCAATTAAAAAAAATTGATTCATCACCATGGCATTTAAAAATCTTTTTTCTCAAAAGCATTAATTACCTTTTAAATTCTGCACTGGTTTTGTCATCTTGCCAAATTGAACTACTGGAGACATTGCAACCCAGTTAAGAGTCATGGGGGTTGTATCCTCCTTTTTCCTATATAAAAAGAAAAAATATCCCTCCACAAAACAGAACAATATTTTCTATGACCCTAGTGAATTCCTAAAACTCTGACCAGCAAAACATAGCTGGGAGTTTGAATCAGGGGTTTGAGGGCTGTTGTTATATGGTTTTGTTTCAAATAGGAAAACCAACACAACTGGGTGCTTTTTTTAGGGTCAGCTGAAATACAACTAAACATACAGCCTTCAAGCTGTTCTTCTGGTTCATCTCTATTGCCCCACTCCCCCAAAAATGAAAATCAGTGTATATTTTTCTTCTCAAACTAATTTACACACACTAACAGAAATACAAATCTCTCCAGTGGATCTATAATGTGGCTAGTACTACTCAGATGCAGTCAGGATTAATACTCAGAAATTCCTACCCAACTCACAAAGACTTGGTCCACACTAAAACTTAAAACCCTTACAACAAGGAGAATCAAGCAAATCTCCTGCATCTCTCTCACATGGCACAGACTGCTGTCAGGAAAACCTTTTCCTCTGCAAGGGTGAAAATGCACATCAATTCACTACAGGTGACAGACAGATGAAGGAAATGAACTATTAGACTTTGTACACTGGAGGGAGGATCAGCTCACTGCTTACATATATCAGCTTCACTGATGAGTAGCAATAATTAGCCTAATTAATTGCAATTGCTTTTGCTCCTCCCTTGTGGAATGGGGGAAAGACCTTCTGAAGAGATGAGACATCTTTTGTCAATTATTACAACTCCTGAAGTTTCCTCTGTGTTGCAGTGGGTGACCGCCTCTGAGAGGTCTCCATCCACTTCACCCAATGATCTGCTTTGGACACTGTCATTTGCACAGACCAATTTCTGCAAATACATACTGAGGAAACTAGTACCAGTGGATAAGGGATAAAAGCCTAGCTTTAGCCAGAATTTGTAAGTGTTTATGTAGGAATATCACTGGTATGAACTGCAATCAGACCTCTGCACGCCTTGGGACTTGGTGAAACAAGGTGAGTCGGAAGCTGCCTTCGCTCACCACTGTGAGCTGCTGCCCACTTGCACTGCTGGCAAATCAGGACATACTCAAGCATGCCTCACCTGCTGCAGAGCAGAGACTGACACCCACCCTCACCCAGGCTGGCCCCAGCTCCAAAGGGCATTCCCTCCTTCCCGGCCTTCTGTCGCCTCACTCACTCTGGGCGGTGACTCAGAGCAGGGTGAAGGCCGGGCAGCTGGCTGGGAACTCTGCAGTGCTCTCTGCCCTCTCCAGCTGCCCATGCAGAAAAGCCACAGCTCAGATGCACATGAACACACGGCTCCCTCCAGACTCCTGCTAAATACAGAAATACACTGCAGGTGCACAGTCAGCCAGTCCAGCAGTTCCCTAGTACTTCCAGGATACACCACACTCTTCCCCAGCACCTTTCTGGTACAGACTGCATTGACCAAGTCAGACAAGACAAACCAGCAGAAAAAACATTCAAGCTAACCAGAACTGTTTTGAGTGGATAAACTCATGATCTGATCCAAAGAGCAAAGCCTTATTATTTTGCTGAAAAGCAAAAAGCTTTTCAGCACTGCCATAGACCTAGATGGTGTCAAGTGAAGCATGAAACTGTACCCTGAAGATTCACCCACCATGTTTGGCAGATGCACATCACACTCAGTTTATATTTATTCTGGTCTCTTCCAGCTCAACTGCTACTCCTTGGGTTTTCTCCATAGTTAGCTGTGTGTTAAGCACGGACAGCTCTTAATTTCACATTAACTGCATTCCTAAATTTAGAGCTTCTGGGAAGCAAGGAAGGGCTCTATAAAATGGATTGCCAGCAAGCCACATACTTAAAATGCTGAGCAAAGTATTTTAAATCAGCCAACCCACACAAGTCTCTTATTTTATCCTATCCTCCTTGGAGCTTTGTAGTCACCATTGATATCCTTAAAAAACACCTTCTAAACAACTGCTTTTAGTAATCAAAGTTTTAAAAGACTTCTGGAAAACTCCACAATCATATCTGAGGGAATGTGAATATAAGATTCCTTATCTATAGGAAAAAGAACGATTTTTAAGACTGTGAAGTAGCTATGGGCAAAGTTTTTTATCATCTATAAAATAAAACATTTTCAGTATCTCCTTGACTGCTTTATGGGGTCACTGGTAAAAAAAAAAAAAAAATCAGCTTTTTACTACAGTTAGGTGTCCAGTGACTAGAAAGTGTTTAAGGCATTGTTATAGGCTCTTTCTAACCTCAGAAAGCTTTCCTCTCAAAATTCACTGAACACTGCTCTTACCTTATTGAAGATCCTTGGATCAGGAGGATGAGGCTAAGTGCAAATTTCATTAACATACAACCAAGCTGTCCATAATTTTGACAGCATCACTTGGAGGTGTGCAAACAAAAGATAAAGACCATGTCCTAAAAGCAAATAAGAACACCAAAGAAATGCTTCCTATTTCTCAGATAACAATCAGCAGAGTAGAGCAACTTTCTGAAGCACAGACCTGGGATGACTGCTCACTGAAATGCAGCAATCTGTGACTTCAGGAGTGAGTTTGAGCAGCTGCTGTTTGGCAGAGAGATGTTACTTGGAGTACAAACAACTCTGGGGTCACTAAGATAGGCTTGTTTCCTGGTGACACAAAACAGCACCTGGCTTAAAGATTCACAGGGGCAGGAGAGGGTAACTGCAACTCTGCATAACATGCCTTGCAAGAAAAGCATGCAACTCTCGGTTTTCCTTTGATTTCAAGAAGTGTTTTTGTCTCAGTCACTCTGCTCTGGAGGTGAAAACGGCAAGGTTCTGGGTAAGTTTGCTTTTGCTTAGCATCTCAGGTTGTGTCCTTGGAGGCACCTATGAGTGTGAAGCACGGGCAGTGAAGCATAGTGCTGGACACAGAACTGCAGCAGTCAAGCAGAGAGAACTACCAGTTCTTGGGCTTTACTCAACTCAGAACTGCTTTGAGAGCTGGCAGGGCTCCCAAGTTACCCCCCTCTACCCTCAATTTTTCCCCCCTGCTGTCTTGGTTTGCACAATGCAGACACCTGAGTACACCTGCACTGCCACAAAAGGAACAGATTGTTCAGAGAAGATGCTGTCAGGAGCTAAAAGGACACGTGTGTAAATATGCTGACCAAGGACACAGCAAGCACTTGAGGCAAACAGAAAGACAACAAACCAGAAAAGAAATGAAGTTAATCTGAAGGTAAGATGCCTCAATACTGTGCTGTATGAGATCTCTCTTTCTCTATATGCATACACACACACACACACACTGAATATCACTCAAAAGATATTTTAGGAATGCAAGGAAATGCCTAAAATCCTATGAATTCTTTCAGTAGGTTAGCAGGGTTTTTAACTAAAGTTGTGGTATCACTAAAAAAAAAATTCTTAAAAGTTTATGCAGATGTTTAAACAACCATTGCACTTGCTTCTAGACCTGTGCAATTCCTGTAGTTTCACAGGATTTAAGTTGAAATACATCCCCTATCAAATACAAAAACTTCAGCTATATTAAGGCATATCAGTCCTTGGGTAAAATGAGGGCATATCCAAGGAAACAAAAATAGGAAAGGAAGTCTAAGATTCCATGAATACCCATGATGAGTGCAACTTCAGGAATCACTTCTGAAATACACTTGAATGACCTTAGCAGGAGATTACACTCCAAATTCCAGGGGAAGGCAGAATCTGACAGCGGACATTCCTTCCCTGCCCTGCATTCAGTTCCATATTGCCTGGAGCAAGGGATCAGCCAGGAATCCAGAAATGACACTTTCTGGACACATGCCTGAGCACATGTTCACAGGAATGAGAGTGGCAAGTACTTCTGAGAGTAACTGGCTACACCATCTGTGGAGAAGTCAGGTCAAATTATAGAGCCTAAGCACCAAACACTGTTGTCTTAATGCTGCACTGCACATGTTATCAGCACCTCCAGTCATCTCCATTCCATCATCTCCTCCTGCTCAGCCCAACAATTTATCCAAGCTAGAGGAAGGCATATCTCAATGATTAGGAACAGATCATGACGCAGCTGTCTGCATAAGCCCTTCTGTTGTTTGAATTCTTAGCAGCTAAGGACCAATGTCTAGCCACTGAATATTTTCTTTCTTCTGCCAGTAAGTGAAACAGATCTGAACTGTCTTCCATTATCAGTGTGCAGCTATGCATATTAATCAAGTTACTGCTTTGTTTACTGAGAAACACTAAAGAGATTTAAGTTGGGTCCATGTCTTAGAAGTGCCTTCCAAATTCTTTGTTGCACATCTTCAAGTACAGGCACCAGAAACTGAATGCAGGACTCAAATAAGAATAACCTCCTTGCTTCCACTAATAGTCAAGGATCACATTCACTGCTGATAGTTCCAACAGCAGCTTTCTGTATATTGCTGTAACTTTAACACTCTTCCTCACTTCTCTTTAGGTATTTTGAGACATTGTGTGCCATAAAATGGTTTCTGTTTGACAGGTGTATTTCCCAGCTTATTAGGAATAAAAAATACACCACGTTAGAAAACAAACAAAACACACACACACTAAATAAACTCACTACAAATCCACCAAAACATAAAACACTGTGCTTGTATAAAAGGAGAACTTACTAACAGGTACAGGGTCTTTCCTGATCAGAACACACATATAACTAACCTGCAAATGAATGAGCACGAGAAACTCTTCAGAGTTTGTTAGAAATACAGGTATTTGTACAGCAAGCCACCTTCCTATATAAGGTAATTTCCAATAAAGTAGCAATTGCAATTTTCCTTCCCCTGCAATCTCCCACACCTAGCATCCAGATTCTCAGGCTTCAAGTATTATTTGCTGGGCTTTAAAACTGCTATAAGTTCTTGGAGTTCTAGAGGCCTCTCAGATCAGGCAAGCAGACATGTTTAAAGAAGGAACACTTTGTTCAGCTGTAGTAGGGTTAATCTCACCAGCTCACAGACAGTTAAGCTCAGGCCAGAGCAGGGCTTTCCCACTCTGAACATCACATGACTTATGACTGAACATCACATTTCCAGCATGGAAATGTCTTGTAATTTCTGAGTTGTTTTGGAAAGGCACTGTCAAAGGTTTCCACCAACATACTGGTCAATAAGAGCAAGAAACACACATTCATTATGCAGGATAAAAAAACCTCTTTGATCTCGAAGTCTTTTTTTTTTTTTAAATACAGAGACTTTTGTGGTAAAGACACTGATCTATGGCTTTAATGAAAAAACCCAACTGACCACAAAGAGTTCAGATCTTCAATCTGACAGAAAGCCTAGACAGCAGCAGGTCAATCACCTCTTTCTGGACCATTTAATGAGCTGTAGCTACAGGTACATATATGCATGTGTGCACACACAGCTGCATGTATACACACACACCAAACTATGGCCAAGGAACCACAAAAGTGGGACAGAAACCACCACTTTCCTCAGTCAGCTTGAAAGGTGGTGGCACTTTGTGTCTCTTGCTCAAAAGGAAAATAATTTTCAGAGGATGCTGCTCAATGTTTCACCAATTTTGTGTCTTCTATTTCAATCTTGCCTCCCAGTTACCATTTCTAGTTAGGATTACAGCCTGACCAAGGTATGATATCTAGCATCATCACTTCCAATTTGTTTGGTTTTTTTTGGATAATCTCCAGCCAAGAAGAACTACTATGGGAAAACACAGCAAAAAATTCTTCATCCTGCTATGCAAAAGAAGCCTCAGCTTACAGCAATTCATTATCATATTCTCTGAACTTGAAGCAAGCAAAATCTGTAAACTCTAGTCAACTCTAGAATGAAATCAGATTGAAGAAATGACAGTAGCATGGGATTTTGCTGAGAAAATAACAAGAGAAATTTCTGCTACAAGAGATAGGGATTAACAAGCTGAAGTATGTAAGAAGTGCCAACCCTCCTCCTCCTCACTCAAGTGGATCCTGCTTTCCTACAGAGTGATAAGCAGAGACTATTTATGAAGAGCAGGTGAAGGTCATGTTATGTGATCTACTGCCTGTGAGTCTGGATACAGTTCAGCCTTTTATATCACAAAGGAAGTGTGAAAATTATGTATGAAGCAGTGTATTTCCAAAATTATTCTGGATCAATTTCTAGAATTGGCAAAATTCTATTCCAAGTCAGTCATCTTGTAAAATTAACAGTTAAGCTTCGCAAGTTGGTCAAAGAACACGTAAGATACAAAGTTTTGGTATAAAGGACTCATTTTAAAAAAGAGCTGTCAACGTGTAAGGTGTCATTCATTTTAATTTCCCTCTTAAAAGAGCAAATTAAAAAAAACCCTACAAAAGTTTTCAGAAATACAGATGCATGAAAATTTTAAAAAACAACATGGTAATAGCTTCCATATAATCTAAGACACAGTGATTATTCCCACCTGTAAAACTCTGCCTCTTGCAAGACTCCCCAGACAGCAAACCCTCAAGCAGTCTCCTCTCCCTGCAGCGACTGGGTATCACAAGTGAACTGCAATTTTTTTTCTTCCAGCTGCATGCACTAAGTTGTGCTGAAGAATTTTAATAACATACATACACCAGCCAAATACTGGAACTTGCAAATAAAATGTCAGAAAAAGAATCTCTGGATATTCCTGCCAATTCCTTCACATTAAAAGACACAGAAATGAGTGTAATACCAAGTGTGTGTAACCAGCCAAACAGAAGTGCTTCCCTATGTCCTGTAAACCTGACATTAGAACCTATGTGCTTCAAAAAACAACAGCACAGAAAGTACCAGTCAAGAAGCCTAGTGTCCCCTGCCATTGCAGTTTGTGGAGCCTGCTGGAACAGGTTTGTAAACCAAAGTTAGAGATCAGGCAGAAGTTCTTATACTAAGAGCACACCTCCAAATTTAAACAGCTGCCTCTGCTGAATCAAGTTCAAATTTACTCCAGATAATTCAAGAAGCAACAAACTGGCATCTGTGACTTTCTAGGAGAAGGCTGCAATACAAAATCTTCAAAAAACATTTAAAAAAGAAGTGTCCAAAAAACCGGCAGTACCAGTTGACCTGCTGGAGTCACTGGTGGAATCAGAAGCGCGAGTACGCGGTTCTCTGCTGCTGCTGCTGCGACGGAGGCTGGCCCTGCTGCTGCTGGAGACGAACCTGCTGGGAGTATGGATCCTCAAGAGACTTCACAAAAATAGTTGTTTTAGGCCCAGTTTTCCAGACGATACCATTTGAATCTATCACAGAGGACTCCACGGTGATGTTGTGGGTGCCAAGGATCACAAAATTTAGCAGGAACTGAGTGCTGAAGTAGTCGTTGTGCGGTTCCACCCTCTGCTCCATTTCATTGGTCATGTTGTCAAGAGGAATCTGAGAACACAGATGGAAGGTTAAAACACCATAAACCTGCCAAAACTAAGTTTTCAGGTCTCCACTTGAAGGAAAGAGGAGAAAAAAGGAAAAATCTGCTCACAATTCTCCTAAACTAATACAAGTGCATACTTGACACAGCTTGACAAGCTATCAAGTCATCTTCCACCTGAGGTTCTACTTTTCCACAAAGTAATGTGAGTCAAACATCACACACTTCCTAGTTCTGTTCTTTTACAAGCCATTGACTTTCTCCTATTCTCCCTCAAAAACCCAAACAACAAAACTGACAAAAACCTACCCCAAAACCCACCAAAATGGGCCTGTCACCAAGTATCACATGTTAGCAGAACCTAAACCTCAGGCATGCAACTTTTGATAATACTGTTGACTTAAGTTCCACAAACAAAATAAAAGAACCTTAAAATGACTATCAAAAATTCTAGAGACTATATGGTAGAGAATAATCTACTCTTGGTTTGTTTGGTTTTTTTTTTTCCCCTGTGGAGTTTTATACAATACATAACTAGGGTGAGTTTTCCTCATCTCAGGCAGACTCCTAATGACTTGTTCCAAACATCACAAAGCCTCTTTGTTTGGAAGAAGAGCTGTTACAAAAAGGTATTGACATCTTGCAGACTTAAAAATCCCAGATCCCCTCCACAAGTTATGCTTGGCTCTGGCCAGTGCTTGAATGTCAACTGGCAGGAGTGAAAGGATTACAGAACCACCCCCATTCATCTCATCCTGGGAATTCTGCTACCCAGAGACAAACAAAAGAACAGCACAACACAGCAAAAAAGCTTAAGACTCTCTATTCTATCCACACCTTATAGTCTTGTCCAGATTTGCTCTGCAGCACTGAAGAGACATTCAGACAGACAGACTGGATTTTACGGAAAAGGCCTGGTTTAGATCCGTGCTGAACCACTCCTTCCACCTTGAGGGCCAGCTGCTGGTTGTTCTGTACTGCTATAGGCTCTGCTGGGTTCCTTGGAGATGGGGATAGAGCGAGCTGGAACACAAGTAAACAGATAAGAGTGCAATTATATGACTCCAGAAAAGCAAACAGAATTCAAGGATGAAACAGGACACGTTATAGAAAAACTTCCAAGGAGAGGTTGGGTAAGAAAATCAGCAAATGGAAACACAGACATTATCAGAGACTCATTACTGTATTATTTAATAAACATCGTCAGCAATACTAGATATTATCTTTGTATCAGTTTCATTTACTTTACTTCTTCAAGAGATGTGGAAAAAAAAATCTTCCACAGAACAGCTGTAGGTATATTAAGCTGAACAAAGAAGCAAAATGCAATAAGAGTAAATATTTAAAACTTAAGCTTTCACTTTTCCCAGAAAAAAAGAAGCACTTGAGTAAAACAAAAAAACCCCACAACCTTAGTCATATATAGTCATTCTTAGTCAGTGAGCTGATATATAGGACAATTTTCTTCCAAGATAGTGAACATTGCTTTTTAAAGGAAAAAGAAAAAAAACAAACACAAGTCTGTAAAAGCTGCCCTCCCAGGACTAGCATTATTTATCTTTGCAGACTCAGAATCAACAAAAATTCCAGCTACATTTTACCTTTAAGGCTTTGCAATCAAAGAACTGAATCTTACTTGCCTAAGTGACAGTCTAGTGCTTCTGAACAACCATACATACATGCTATAACCCAAGTGCCATTTGCAGTTATGTATCTTCACTAAAAATCCTTAAGCTCTGTGCCTTCAGTATGGCTTTTCTCATGAAATAAGGACTTCCTAAAGAAATTTGAGGCCATATTTGAGCAGTACTTACCTTAATACTTGTAGATTGCAGCTTTTGGAAAAAGTACCTCTGAAATGAAAGGGGCACCTTCAACAAGGCAATGACAGCATTGCACAGACAAGCTGTATGCTGCAAGAAACAAGAGCCAAAACAACTAAGAAAAAATATCATTCATGACACAGGCAAAAGACATGTACCTGAGGTACTGAAACAGCAGGAATTTCTATTTCAAGTCCAAAAATATATTAGTACAGTCATAGAATTATAGCCACTAAGATTACAGTGACTATATTCAACCTCTCTTTTATGCTCTGCCCCTTATTGAAGGAGGTATTCTGCTCTGGAAAAAAACAAGGAGGTCAAGTAAAAGAAAAATACAAATCTTTCCAGCCCTAGTGTTAGAGTTGACAGAGCAGGATCTGCGTGAAACACTCCTACACACAAACTCTCAAAAACTCCCTTACAAGCAAAAAGACTGGCATCTATCACAACTTAATGCAATAGTTAAGTTTTAAGCCTCTTGTCTACTCTTCCTTTCCCTGCTGCACCATGCCTCTGGCTCAGATGAACACAAGCAGTGCCTTGGTGTGCAGCCAGCCACAACCAAGTTTACAGGGTTTACCTTTGCTGTGGCTTAAATGATTTACTCCTCTATTCTGTGTGGAACTGGTAAGGACTGTTTGATTTAGAAACCAGGCAAATAAATGGCAACCATGCCAAACCACCTTGTTCCCACTAACATGCACTTCAGCTTCAGGATGCTCATGAGCAGCAAGAGCCAAAGGCAGCAGCCCTGCAAAGGAGAGCATTATCAGCTCACTGTTTGCACCAGCACACTGCACACTGTGCTCCCTGATGCCCTGCACTGATAAGAGAAATGCTACACTCACCAAGCACAGTGCTCACCACCAGGGACCAAAGCCCAGCTGCTGGGTGGGAGGGGGAGAATTCCTCCACAGCAAGAACATGAACGTACTCCAGTGTTTGCATGTGAGTGTGGTGAGGGGTGTGACAGAGACCTGACAGTACTTGTAGTTATCACAGCAAGAACATGAACGTGCTCCAGTGTTTGCATGTGTGTGGTGAGGGGTGTGACAGAGACCTGACAGTACTTGTAGTTACCCTATCAGCAACTGCTGTGCTCTTAGGATGGGAATTTTAGAAGTATTATTTTTAATCAGACCAGTAAGGTTACAGATGTTTTAGCAAAATGGTTCTTGAAGTATTTTTAAACAAGAGTGTCTCTGTAGAGACCATTTGAGTCAGTAATGTTAGTTAACTGAGAATGCTTCCCACTTTCTTGCCAACCACAGTTACATGGAGTTCTAGGGTTTTGGCCCCTTTCTCTACACAATATACATTTAAAACTGTTACTTGCCAAGTAAGACACAGGAGCATACTTCCTGTTGAGGGATTCCACTTCCTCTAGTACATGATTAAATACAGACATCATTCTTCTTTCATATTCACTTTCAACATGAGCTGTTCCATTTGAGCTATATTCCTGGAAACTAAAAAAAACCAACATTATGTCTAACTTACTTTCCTCATCATAACCTGGAAGGCACACTACCAAACAGATGTCACAAGACATTACAACATGAAATCCATTAAGAAATGTCTTTCAAACTGTTTACTCTGTTCTTTAAATTATTTTTCCACTATAACATTTTCCCTTTGCATTTAAATCCTTCTTAACTACCACTTATTCACCACTTCTGTCCCCACCCTCTCAGCTGAAGCACTGACAGGTCTAATAACCTCAGCATACTTACTTCCCTGGGCTTTTACTTAAGCCTGCAGTGTTTATAACAGTCATGAAAATCTCACAACACAAAGCAAGAATGCTAGTCAGAATTAAAACTAAATCTCCAATTTTATAATCTTCTCCTTTGAATAGAATTCCATCTCGTAGACACCCAGCTTCATACAAATTTGACTAATACACCTTCTAAGCAATGCTTAATTCACAATGAGTACTGCAGTCACTTAAGAGGATGTTCACTTTTATTAGCTATAAAATCACTGAGAGATTTTATCCACAGGATTTTCCATTTAATCTCAGCCTGGGATTTTAAAACACTGATTCAATTCATCAGTACTTCAACATTGTTTTCTAGTGGATTTAAGTTCACTGTTAGAAAAACAGCCAGAAGTGATGGCTTTACATTAAAAATTTGAACTAATGTAGTGCGTGTATTTTCACGACTTTGAAGGAAGCTAAGGTGCACTTACAAGTGCAAGCAACAGGTATGGGATCTAACACATAACAACACAAATTAAGTAGCTAAAGGAGAGATTAGAAGTTCAAGTCTATATTTAAGATAACTCCAGTATAGTGATCTCAAGAGCAAAATCAATATGAAAAGCAGAACCTAAAAGAGAGTCCCCAATCTGCCAGGTACAGCACATCAGCAACAGATCTTCAAGCATGCTCAGAATACAATTAGAAATGTATACTGAGAAACTTTCTGGACATTCCTTGAATTCCTAGGTTTAAAGCTCCAAGGATTTATTAATAAGCAGAAAAGGAGTATGCAGTTAACTATCAAACCTACCTTGCAGATTCTGGATCCAAAATCAGAGCTTCTATTGCATGTGAAATCAGCAGGCAGCTCTGCTGTTGTCTGATATTAATACTAAGGAGTTAAAAGACTTTTGAAGTTGTCACCTAAAGCAAGAAATGCAGTATATTCGGTGGCACTTTTCCTTGCTTCTATGAAGTAGTCCTACAGTCATTACTCATTTAGTGAACAGAGAAGAACTGTGAAAATACCAAGTTAGAAGTATGATACCAAGTTTTGTGTCATAACTTGTTTATCAAGTAATTCCAAACAACAATATGGTAATGTTTATTTTCAAATAGGTTTTAAGCAATTGACAGCTAATTTTTATGTTATTAACTTTCAAAATTATTTTGTGGCAGTCTTCAAAGAAAAGAGGATTCTTATGCTTCATGCTGTGCATGTGAGAAGGAAAGCGGACAAACACTAGGATTTTTAAAGGATACAGTTCTACATTCCTTAGAGTTGCTGAGTCTGCATCAAAAGATGACTGATAGAGATCTCCATACCGTGTAGCCAAGTTTCGGAATTCCTCCATTGAGTGTTTCATCTGCAGACACAATGTTACTAAGCAAAAACACAAAGCAAAGCAAAACAAAACCCCACACATCCAGAAAACCCCTACACTGTAACATACAACACTGAAGGAATAAGGCAGTAGGAAGAAGGTGAAGTGCTTCTTCACTCAGATTATGATTACCAAAGTGACAGACTGTCACTTAAACAGGTATTAAACAGGTGTTTTTCCTGCACCAACAAAATCTCCTTGGGTTAAAAGAAAAAAGAAAAAAACTCCATCAACAACGTCCTCCATCCCCTACTGGTAAATCAAACTGCTCTGTCTTTCAATGACCACCTGCTGGCTGGATTTAGAACAAACATCCTTGGTGCTCCTTATGGTACCAAGGCAGTTGCCAACTCTCAGCGAAAGGAGTTGCAGAATCATCCTCAGGTACATATATTCTTCCTTAGTGTACTCAGAGCGTCTGAGGTGTTTCAAAGCAAGGTGTGAAAAGCCTTGCTGCAAGTTTGAGTGTAGCAAGTGACTTGCTACTTGCATATCCTTGGCAGCTGTGTGCTTGACGGGAGGAGAAAACACACGTGCACGTTCAGCTTCAAAACACAGCCTGCTACAGGCAGGTGTTTTCAGAGCTACAGGTAAAAACCAAAGTCCACAATTCAAAAAAAACCCACTTCACAACTACTTTTAATTTCTTTTGTTAAATATGTTTGCTGAGAAGCAAAATTCATACCAGAGTCACAAACATAACTGCACAAGAGTGGAAGGGGAGCACATGCCTGGTTGGAGATGCGGCCACACCTCTGGAGATCATTTCCCGACGTCATAGCGATCGTTGTGGCAATAGCTGGGGGTGGACTTGTTTTGAGGCTGTTGCAGGTACAAATAAGTTGAGAAAAAGCTTGCAGAAGGTCAATCCTGAGTTTCACAAATCCACATTGAAAGCTCAGAGGATTAAGTGGCGTACTAGCAGCCTGGAACACAGTAATAGGAATGTTGGCAAACTAGGTCAAAAGCAAAAACTATAAAATTACACTGCAGTGTCACTGAACAGTCTCATCAGAAAACTGAGTCCTCAAGTTCAATTCTGAAAGCTGTTTTTTTAAAAATTACATTTAACAGGTTTGCTCAATCATACTAAATATAAATTACATAGAAGTTACATAATTACTAAGTCATATTCCAAGCATGTCACCCTTGTAACAGATGTGACTTAAGCAGTTAAAATACTGTTAGGGCACCTATTTCCTCTTTTTCCAAGGCCAAGCCATTAGGCTTCAAATGACATTAGGCCATATAGTCTTTACCATAACAAAAACTACACTGAATTGGATGGAAAACAAGAAACACAGGGACTGAAAAAGTGATTCTCTGCATCAGCCAGAAGAGAAGGAATTGCCTCAAGTTACCCACAGCAAGAGGAAGGGGTGATTTTTTTGGAACTGTGAAATGGATGGGAACATTATGAAGGCACTGAACCTGGCAATTGATGAAGGCAAGAGACAGTCTAGCGATAACTAAGACGAGTAAATAACAGAATTCCAGGAGGGCAGACAAGCTGCTATTGTTCAGAAAATACAGTTCTATGAAGCTTTGTTCCCTAATAGCTTATCTGACTTCTAGAACCATCTGTGACAGCTTAGGACACCCAGGAGGGGGGAAACTGCAGTACTTGAGGTTTGATACTAGTTAAGCCAAAAACCCACTACTTATTTTTCTTCAGATTTTGAGAAGAACAAGCCCTCTCCAAAAACAAAGCACTAGGACTTGTTCTTAGACTCATCCCTGTCTTCCCCAGCGCTTGTTATTCCTCACCAGGTCACTTCTCAAAGAAAGAAGTTATAATCTACCCCAAAACCTTACTAAGAACCATTTATTTGCTGGCAGAAAACCAGCTAACTGGTTTCTCACAAAGCATCACATCATCTAAGAACTGGCTAAAGTGGGGAAACATCAGCGAGAACTGGCTAAAGTGGGGAAACTTCAGCCCACTGCAACCACTTTAAACTACTGAATTAGATTTCAACTGAAAAAATAAGACTATTTCATAATTAAACCATTAAGCTTCTCTTATCTATCACTTTACTTTTCCTTCTCCAAGGGCACAAAAAACCCACTTTTGAACTGGAATTGTTCAGTTTATTTTGTAAGGATGGCTTCAGAAAAGTTAAGCCTCTCTTATCTATCACTTTGCTTTTCCTTCTCCAAGGGCACAAAAAAACCCCAACTTTTGAACTGGAATTGTTCAGTTTATTTTGTAAGGATGGCTTCAGAAAACCCTCTGTGGAAGAGGGCTACACTGCACTGTAATTGCTCTACAGAGACTACATGCTTTTAAAGAGTAAAGTACTCATATCAGAAAGTCCAGACATTTTTAGTAGCACAAATTGGACTTGAATCTTGTAAATGGAAATATAAGCTTGTCTCATTAATACTGCAATTCACCTTAACTGCCATGGGCAGTAAGTGAGTTACAATTCTTTCTGAAAGTGACAGAAGTATTTCTTTGGCTCAGCCAAGTTCTTCAAACACCACCACTTGACATATTTGGAATTGGTGCTAACCAAAGGCTCTATAACTGCTTTGTTCAAGTTTTGTATCTTTAGATTACCAGCAGTGGAAAATAAATCCAATGCTTCCAATGAGACACATGATCTGTGCCAGAAAGAGCAGGACCCACTCAAAACCTTTGCTAACTCTGCAACCAAGCACACAGCAAGACAGATGGGGACTGTGGTCAATGTCAGGGACTCACTGACAAGTCCCTGTCCTCCCACAGGGAGAACCTCTTATCCACAAAGCAGAGGGACTTCTTTCCCTCAAGTGCACTCCTATGAAAGAACACTCTGCAGTGCAAGACAGAATTTTATGTTTATCAAGGAGGAATTGAGAAATTTTCTGACAAGGCGCTGTCTGAACATTTCATCACTTCCAAACCAGGCTGGCTGAACATCTGCAAGAGATTTACTGACACTGTGTTTTCCAGCTACAAAGTGGAGCAGCTACACAAGGCTCATCACATGCACCACTGGTCTGTGGTACCAGCAGTGCTGAGTCATGCCCTGCACTGAAACAGCAGCAACAGGAGAGCTCAAGTCAGAGAAAAGAGAGCAAAAGCCTTCAGCATCAAGACTGTCACGTGCATTTCATGGCATTTTGCTCCCTTGGAGAGGCTGAGTTCTACAGAGAACCAGTGAGTGTCTCTTTTTATAGCTGATACCCTCAAGCATGACTGGGACATTGTCCAGAGTGATGCAACAAGTCAGCAACAACCAGCACTAAAACACAATTTCCTCCCCTCTAACCTACAAAACCTGTACTTACTCCTCTGGACCACAACCATCCCTAAGGAGGGCACTGTGCCCAGAAAAGCACTATGTGCAACAGGAACTGAAGTCAGCAGAAGAGATGAAGACAGGAATCCTTCAACAGAAAAAAAGGCCCAAACTCCATGGAAGGGGTAATTAAATTACTGGATCACAGTATGACCGATTTAAGTATGTTATTTTCCTGCCTGTATTAAATATTGACATCTAATTAGTTGAGGTCCTCCTCTCAATGTCTTCTTGATGTTAGAGAAATCTTGAAGTGTTGAATTAAAAGCCTGATTCACTCAGCCAACAGTTAAACACTTCAGCAATGATGGGTCTTTCAGAGGACAAAAGTAGAAATTTATGCCATTGCAGCTTATTCAGGGACATTTTATTAAAAAATAGTAATATCTAAACTTTATTAAACAGTAATGTCTGAATTGTCATGACCCTAACTGTCCAGTGACTAAAACAACAAAGCAGCTTCAAAAGGCATACACAAACTGTATGTAAATATTGCTTCATGGAAACTAAAATATGAAAGAAAGAATTGTGTGAAGCTGGATCTTCTTTGCTGAAGAAGCAACTTTACTGTAGGAACTGAAGGTCCCTAATCGTTAATGCTTTTTTTTGTTAACAGACATCACACAGCTTCCTGGTATTTTTACCACTTCAGAGAAGCAGAAAGTATTTGCATAAAAGCAGGTACCAGTTGGATTTGATGAAACTGAATTGTCTTTCCCCTTCTTACTAGATTGTTTTTAGGATTCCATGAGATCACATTGTCAAATAGAAGGCAACATGAACTCAGCAGGAGGGAGGAAGACAATTGAATCCTTCTCTATATTTCAAGAAGACAGCAGCCAATTTAGGCCAATTCCCAGGCTTGACTATTACAATGGCTTTTATTCACCCAAAGCAAGGAGTGGAAAATTGTAGTATTGTATCATAACTTTAATTAAACAAGATCTGTCACATTTCATTTGATCTGATCAAGGCAGGAAATGAGGGGTGGAGAGAGAAGAAAAAGCAAAGAGATATCTAGCTAATCACACTTGGCTGAGTTACAGGATCTTTTCTCTCAAGATGCAGTGTGTTACCACTGAGATGCCTACAGAGTAGAACCAAACAGAGACTGGCAGAAGCCAGACACATGTAAGAACTTTCCAGAGAGTTAAGAACAGAATGCAAAGAGCCATGCTGCAGCAGCCAGAAACATCACCACTAGAGATGTGTGCTGACCGTCAGTGACGCTATTCCTTTGTGGTAGGACTTCAAGGCTTCGGCGATGCAGGAGAGCGCGGAGCTGTAGTTGTCCTCCTGCAGGCCTGCCAGGCACTGCTCTGCATGGGAGAACTCCTTCAGGCTGTTCAGCCAGAAGTAGAAGTGCTCTGAAGCCACTTGGGTCAGCAGGCTCTGGTACAGCTCTCTGGCCATGTCGTGGTTGCCCTGTAATGACAAGAATGTTTCTGAAAGGGGACGTGAAAGAAGGCTGGGGATTTCTACAAAAAGTACACAAATAAGAAAACAGGAACATCTCCAGAACTACTCCCAGCTTTGAAACAGAAATAGTGAAACTTTTTCCAATTATTTGATTGTGGCAATGCTATAATAAATAAAAGCACAAGTGCTTTCTTTATAGAAATACCAGCCTGTAAAAAGTATAGTATCTATTTACACAAGATAATTCAATAAGATGAGAAAAAAAAACCCATGGAAATTTACCTCAGCATCTCATACTAGGGTTTCTGTGTAATTCTAATCCCAACTGTGAATTTACTTAAGGGAAAAGGGAAACAGTATATTTTTCTTCCTTTCTTCACATTGAAGAAAGAGAACCATACCTCAGGATGACCTTCACATTCTGAAGAGCAGTCAGACAATACAGATTAGTATGTGCTCAAGAAAGTGCCAGGACATGACTTACTTCCTTCTCAAATACTTCAAAAGGATAAGTAAGAAAAACATTGTGATGGGATGAATGTCCCAAATATATATATTCATATCTGAATCTGCATTCCAGGGAATTAGGAGGGAAAGTTATTTTTATTTTTTCCCCCCATTCACTTTCTCCTCCCAAGTCCTACAATTTTCCTTATTCCCTTATCCAATTCAAAGAACTCTCTGGCATTCCTTCAATCACAGCAAATAATTTTTCTCCAGGTATTTTCACTTACCATCCTGGAAGCCTGCCTGGCTATCCTGTAGGCTGTCCACCCATTGGAGGCATTCTCAAGCTGCTGTTTGATAACAGTTTTGATTTCTGTGGACAAAGCTTTCTGACTGGAAACAAATATCACCGTGGCAAGAGAAACCTAGCAGAGAGTAGAGGAGTGAGAAAGAAAGTTATATTTCAGTAACTAAAGAAAAGAAGAAAAAAAAGCCATTTCTGTTTTATTTTGGGCTCAAAACTACATAGAAGATTACATATATATTTTTAATTGCAAAACTTCTCAGTCATATATCTTTTAAATAGTTACAGCAATCCAAGTATTTCTTGTAGATAAAAGTAACTTTCATTTAAAGAATCTCTACCCTGCCTTTTAGCTGAAATATTTCAAATGCTCCAAGAAAATTAACAGAAAGCTTGTAATTTATATTTTAAAATTCAAATTCCTTTCCAAGTATATGTGATGAAAGTATTTTTCTCTCTTACAAAATATTAAATCATTTGCCTCAGAGCACCCTGTATAAATGGAGCTAGCTGCCATATGGCCTTTAAACACTACTTTAGAAGTACCCCAATAATTCCAATAGCCAGGTTTGCCTAAGCAGTGCCATCTGCTGGAAAAACTAATGGAATACACTGCACAGTACAGCTCCATCTAGTAGATATTTCTACACTGAACACTGACATAAAGAGTCAGAAGTTAAAAGAAAATTGAAACTAGTGGCTACAGACTGGCACATCAACCTGGACACATAAATGCCTCATCTGCCTTTAAAATACAACCCATCCCCAACTGTCTATACAGACTTTATCCATCAAGGGAAGCCTTACCAAGAGTTCCTGCTTTTTATCTGTAGCAGATTGTCCAATTAATTTATAGAGGTCCATTAGGTCTCCTAGCATCCCATCTGCCAAGACAGGCAGCTGCATGGCAATGGCTGCCAGGCAGTGGCACATGAGGATCCTGGCATTGTCCTGGGCACTGTGCAGCTGTGCCAGCAGGGATTCCACCACAGACTGGCTCAGGTGAGGGCGGCACTTCACCAGCTTCACCATGCAGGTCAGCGTGATCTGCAACTCACACAATCCACAGGTACCATCATCAACACAATGGCCTCAAACCCAAAAAGCTAGGCATGCTTACTTGGCTGCAAGCAGGACTGCAGAAACACAGATCTGGGATTTTCAGAACTATGTACTCTACCAAAGATGAGATTTTTCTAATAGCCCAAGCTTTGTCCCCGAGCTACCAGCACTAAAAAACATCACAAATTCAAGAAACATTAGTAGCCCCTCACACCATCAGCCTTTAAGGTAAATAACTAGAAAAATTACTGATAGCTTCTGAAGTGGGAAAATAAGAATAATAATTTATAAAAATGTTGTGGTAATGTACATTGCATCTCCATCTCCAAAAAGCAAGTGGTCTCCAAGATTCTCTTTGTCCTCCACAGAAACCTCCATCCAATGTTCATGTTTTATTACAGCTGTTCCTCTGAGAGGAATGCTCCCAACACCTGCAACAATCCTCTTATCCTAGAGCTGAGAGGAGTTGTACTATGGCTAAGCTCAGTTTCTCTACTGCTCTGAACTGTGATGATGGGCAAACCAGAAAAATCTTCTTTTCCCTCCAGTCTGTTATGCTTCCACCAGAAAGGATCTGGTGCACTCCAGCCTCTCTGTTATACAAGCTGTTATTATAACTAACAGCTGTGAGGGGGAAGACAACACTAATGTCACCTTTAAGGTTGCCTGAGCTCCTGGGCTGTCATCTTGACTACAGAGAACAAGAAGAGCTTCTAAGCCAAAAACTGCATCTTGCTCCAAAGGCAGAAGATCTACAAAAAGAAAAAGAGTTAGTTTCTTCTCTGTTCTGTTCTCTGACCATAGCTGGTGTAATGCTTGCACTGCTGTTGCAGTCATGACAATTAAGAATCTTCCTAACACTTCTGCTTTGCCTTACTTTGATGACAAACAATTCTGCCATTCCATATCTTGGGTAACTATTCAGCAGCCTCACTGACACGTGCAAAGCATGCATTAATCTTGGGACTAAGACTTCTAAATGCCCTGCTATTATTTTGCAACAGACTCTGTGCAAAGGGCTTTCAAGGGTTGACCAACAATTCACTAGTCTTACAGCAAAGGTAAAACAAGAATTCATCTAGCACGAGGTCTATTGTGGGCAGTCATTTTCTCTAAATGACACAAAGATAGACCCTTCCCAACCATTCATGAGGTCATACAAAGTACTCCCTACTAGATTACAGTCCCCATTCTCCCTAACCAGCATGAGGGATCAGACAGATTTACAGCCAGGTTCACAGACAGGACGAGTTAATCCATGTTAAGTGCATCAGCCTGACTGTGAATAGAGCCACTTCACTGCCCTTGCTTTCCCTTACCTTTTTCCTGGCAAGAGGCTGAAATATTGGTCAGAATTCTCACTCCATGAGCAGCAATGCCACGGTTAGTATGGTAACAGCATTCCTGTGCTAGTTTTACCAAATCAAATGACCTGGCAGTTGTAGCAGCTGCTCCTAAATAAAAGCAAAGCAAATGGAACATAAAACTGTGCAGCCCATAAATATACCACAGATCTTTAAGTACATTTCTGCAAACTATTATATTGATTTGGGGGTTTTTCTTATGTTTAAACAATTGGATTAAAATATTTTTCTCTCTTCAGACAAACCCAGAGACCCTCTCATTCTTGAGCACCACACAAGTTAAGGCACATGAGAAAGAACATTTGGAGCTAAGGCTAATGTTTCAAGACTCAGAGAAATATTGCCTGAAGAAATATTATGTCTGATTAAAAAAAGAGCTGGTAAGTCTATTAATTATTAAGCCTTGCCAGAATGACTGAAGAGGATGCACTATTTTTTTTTCCATTTCTGAAGCCCATGTATTTGAGTTCAGAACACTCATTAGGCAGTTTGGCTGTCAAGAAGAAAAAAGAGCGTGATAATTTTGAGAACAAGATATCTGGAATCACTTTTAAATGTCTACTTTTTCTACAATTTCTCCAGCATATTGTCACAATATTTTGGTGACACCTGGTATTGCTGCAGGTGAAGCCCATAAGGGTGGAAGACTGACATGCCAGTCCACTCTTACACCATGAAACCTCCCTAGTACTCAAAAATTATGCAAATCCATGGTTTCAAAGCACCTTTAGCAGAATGCAGGTCAGCCACTTGAGAGGCAATAAGTTTCTTCACAAAATGAACAAAACTTGAAGACCCAAAGGAAAAAACCCTTTTCATATATCACACAAAACAAAACCAAACCAAACCATCATTATTCATGACTATACAGTGTCCCATTTTAAGCTGATATATGATGAACACTGTCTGACTCTAAGGGTTATAAAGTTCAAAAGTAGTTTTAGAAAATGTTACAAACTGTTGAGATGAAACTGATCAGCAGCAGAAAACCAAACTATTAAAATGCCAAAGGTAACCATCTAATCCAGTTTTCTTACCTGGAGCACTGCTGAAGTACTGTTTAATGGCAATGGTCCCTGATAATGTGGAAAGAACAGATAACATGCCCATTTTCAAGCTGTCATAAGGAGTGTTAAGAGCAGATTCACAGAGTGCCTAAAAATCAGCAGGGAAAAAATACAGAGATAAGAAGTAGCATGAGCTATCTGTATGAAAAATTTAGTTGCACTTCTCTCGGAAGTTTTAAGAATCAAGATTTATCCCACAGAAAATACTGTACTAAAATCAACAGCCAAGTCCTCAAGCATCTGGTTTAAAGGACTGAGGATGTGGCTTGCAGAAAAGTGACAGTGGGTTCTATATGCTAGGAAACATCAATTTTATGTCATTCATTAATTAAAAATCAGTGGCAAAAACATTATCTGGCCTCATTGATCCAACACTGTAAAAGATTTTAAGACAGTTTCAGGCATACTGATTATCTTGCATTGTAACAATCTGCAAGGTTCTATATAAATATATGTCTCTGAAGAGCAAGATTTCAAATGTCCTTTCCTTTAGCAGTACTGTGTCCAACAGGAGTAAGGTTCTTGACAAATAAATTAAAGTGTATTTTATGTTTTAACTCATTTGTAGTAGCATGTCTTATTTTTTTGCCTTTTACAGATCTTATCACAGGTCTTCTCACATTTAGGTTTGAATAACTCTTCAAATGCACATTGTTCTCAATTCCTTATGCCAGCATTGCTCACCATTTAGTCATTCAGTGGTTTTGGATGCTTTTTTAGTAAACAGGAGGGACAGTAATAAGAGACATAAATAGAAAATATAAGTATATTCCTCTTTAGAGTATGCCAAAACTGAATGACAAAGAGCCAGTAATGGAATAAAGAAAAACAACACAATTAGTTCCACAGAACATAAAAATAACCCCACAGTGTTTTTATCAGGTATATGTATTGTGTAAGGGTTAAATTCTAAACATATCTGTGATTTGTATCAATTAGTATTTTGCAAATCCACTGAATAGAATGGCATCAACAGACAGAGGAAGATCTAATGATCTCTTGATGTCTCAAGTCTTGAGTCTTGATGACACTGATGCTTAACTCCAGTGCTATCAGAGCAGCTCTCAGGGCATATCTCAAACACTGACTGTGAACACTGCCAGGAGCATAGAGGAGCTGGCAGGATGGACTGCTCTAGGCAGCAACAGCTTCTGAAGCTGATGTCTAGAAATCAGTGAAGCCTCCCCAGTGCAAAGACCAAACTTCCCAACTGACCTACACAGGGCAGACTTAAAATGCTGAAGAAACTAACCAATGTTTGTTGGTATAAAGGTACAAGAGGCAGGCCTTGCTATGAGAAAACGAGGGTCTGCTCCAGTCCTTGCTGTATAAACATATTCTTTTGTTTATATTATCTCCAATTTTTGGGAGAACAACTTCTCAACTCAAAATGTCAACCTGTTATTTCAGAAGTCAGAAAAACTCTTATTTCTGCATGCCATTCAGCTAGCAGCAGCAAGCTTCAGACAATCAGTTTTGTTTCCACCTAGTCACTGGTTGAGTTCTGACATCAGTGGAACTTTTCCTTATGCATTTCAATCATCAGGACATCCACTTTACTTCAAAACACTACACGACAACTAAAGGCACATTATCAATGCCTCTCACTTGTACTGAGATTACTATTGAAATATGGGATAAAGTAGCATTTTCTCCACAAAAAATCCATAAATCCATAATTCCTTAAAATTCCTAAAAAGAAATAAATTTCTGGAGTTAACCCATTAAGAATAAAGCAGTTCACTACAGCAAAAAGCTCTGCACACACCAAACCATCATCTCCAAGAACTGGGGACAAAGCAGAACCTGTTTTATTTCTCACATGATTGTTAATAAAAACCTGCATAGTTTTTCCTCCCAGCTGCCTTATGTTCCAACAGAACAGGATCCAAGTAGCTTCCAAGAGTAACAAAAGCAAAGAAAAAATGACCCAGGAAAAAGTAGATCTGTAACCCTCTGTATTAAAGTCTTGAAATATTTACTTTCCCATTAATCTAAACTGAAGTTATTTTCCATAGTGACTTCTACCAGAAAAAGGGGAAGGAGAAAAAATTCATATGCAACTGTGATTGAAAGAAGGCAGCACTAATACCTACAACATAACACAAGTTTCTCCAAACAGCACAGGTGCACTATAAACACCTTCTCATTGATACAACAGGAATCACAAGGCTACTATTGCAAAAACCACATTAATTCTAAGAAATGAAATCAAAATTCCATTTGTCCTTTCAAGTACACCTTGCTGGATGACATGCTTTGACAAATCCCAAAGGCTCTGTTTTGCACCAGAGCATTGGTGTGTACTCATTGTGGTAAGACAAGTGTAAACATCCAGTTTGTAACCCATTCTGTTACCTGAAACAGGTTTGTCAGATGGAAAAGCTATTTCCTCACAGTACAAAAGCCTCCTACATGGCACATGCCTTCTCTCTGTAATAATGCTTCAACTTTAATCCTTGAGTGTCACCTTATCCAACTGAAGACATTCTATGAGTTGCTCATTAATGCCTGGCTAGTCTGCTTGGAGAGTAACCTAATTTAATGGTATGGAGATGCATGTTATTCCTTTCTTTACCTCCCAAATCATTCCTCTGGAAAGAATTCTAAAGTTTCATAATAAACTTTAGCTTTAAAAAACATACAGACCTGAATATTTTCTCTGCTCCATGTATGTGGTGTCTTGTTGGCCAACAACTTCAAATCCTGGATTGCAAGCCTCTTCACAGCCTTCCTGGGGTCATTTTTCAAGTACTGCAACAAAAGTTGAATCTGCAAGAAAATAAATTCATTGTTTAAGAGTGATACTACTAGAAGTATTTTCTAAGGAAGTATTTTCAAAAGCACTCAGGAAGAAATGTTGACCACACAGAGCCAAATCGCTACCAGAAGTATTTTCTAAGGAAGTATTTTCTAAAGAAGTATTTTCAAAAGCACTCAGGAAGAAACGTTGAGCACACAGAGCCAAAACTAACTTGAAAAAGTCTGAACATGTTAGCCATGGTTTTAGTCTCCATCTCCACCCTGGCAACATCAGTTTTATGGAGTATTGGCTGTTGTGCTGCAGAAATACAGCCTAAATCTCCATGTTTACTGCCATTTAAAAAAAAAAAAAAAAGCACATTAAGTGTTCTAATGTTGTTTCAGTAGACTTAGGTTCAGCTCCATCAGAAGCATCATCTGAAATACAGAAGTGAGCAACAGCAGAGAGTTTCAGACAGATCAATGCCATTATCTAACAGCCACAGACAGTAGCCTTGCACGGCTATACAGGGCTGAAAGAAAGCAAATATATTTTTGTGACTCCTTTACAAAGATTAGCTGGATGAGTCTCAAGTGACATTGTGTTCAGACCTGCTCTATAAATCACATCCACAAAGCTCATTATCAGAGCATAAAAAGCATTGTATTTTTCCATCACTGTTCCCATTACTTCGTTTATAGTCCTGAATTTAAGGAACCAATTGAAATTCCTCAAAATTCTCCAAGAAATACACTTTAAACGCATTAAATATTCATGTGCTTACATTAAAGAAAGGCAAAAGGCACACTCACAACCCAAGACAATATACAGAAGTGCAAAGTGAAGCCTGGCTTCCACAGGCAAGTTGAAGTCTTTTCAGAAAAAGTCAGGGTGTTTATTTTCCTGTATGCTGATCTATCCTTGCTGATTTGAATTCCACTGTTGATCTGAATCCCTGATTTAGAACAAGACATGTGATGAACCCTAGAAAAGGTGTAGTGTGTTTGATACAGTCACCTGGAAATGGAACCAGAAAAGGCAAAAAATATGAAAGCAGCCGCAGTTTTCAGGGTATTCTTCCTCGACAGCACACAGGAGCAACCAACCCAGCACAGCCATCACTGTTTATTCTGATCAGCAGGCAGAATGTGAGGGCTTTTAAAATGCACTGTGTACTTCAAGGCAAAGGCATGACTCAGGAAGAGTTACCTGCTTGGGAATGTCAACCAAAGAAGATGCAGCAAGCAGAGTAAAGGTGTGCAGAGTGACAATGACCATCTTGGTGGAGGGGTAGGATGTCACCAACTGCTGCAGCAGCTGCCGGGAGCTGGAGGCCAGGCTGGCATCGTGGTGCATGTGCTGCAAAATAGGGATCAACTTCAGCTTCAAGTCCACAGGTGTGGCCAAACCTGCATTAAGGAAAGAAACACAAACAGAGTTAGTCCTTGGGCTGGCTTTTTTTGGCAGTTCTGAGGCACAGAGTATGCCTGGATTACTACCACTGCTGAAAGACAATTGTCCAAACACCTGCAGTGGCTTCAAATAACTCATATTCTAGCTAGGTGTGAAATGACAACACTATCAAGCACTTTCATGGTTGTTTGAGAAAGCTACTCTTTGCTTCCCAGCAGGTAACACACAAATTAACTCATCAGAAGCAACCTATGAGAGTCTATGCTAGTTTATTCATCACGCTATAGATGGGCTTATATTCTTAACCAATCAGGCACTTCAAAATCTTAAATTTTAGGAAGATTTAAGATAACCTGACAGATTATTGGTCAGCTAATTTAAAAACTCGAATCATCTAAGGGCAACAGCATTCTGATATCTAATGTATAAATATGAATAACAAAGAATTTTCAGAGACATTAAAGTTTTTCCTCTTTATCACTCAACATACACATGTACCTTGAATCATCTCGCTGATTTTATTACATATTCCAACAGCAAAATCCCTGTGGAGAAAAGAAAGTACTAACTGAAATGAAAAATAAAAAATGAAGTCATTAAAAATAGAAAAAAAATTCAAACAAACTACTAAACACTGTGTTTTAACAATTAAATTGAAGAAACCTATGAGAGTCTATGCAAGTTTATTCATCACACTATAGATGGGCTTATATTCTTAACCAAACAGGCACTTCAAAAACTTAAATTTTAGGAAGATTTAAGATAACCTGACAGATTATTGGTCAGCTAATTTAAAAACTCGAATCATCTAAGGGCAACAGCATTCTGATATCTAATGTATAAATATGAATAACAAAGAATTTTCAGAGACATTAAAGTTTTTCCTCTTTATCACTCAACATACACATGTACCTTGAATCATCTCGCTGATTTTATTACATATTCCAACAGCAAAATCCCTGTGGAGAAAAGAAAGTACTAACTGAAATGAAAAATAAAAAATGAAGTCATTAAAAATAGAAAAAAAAAATCAAACAAACTACTAAACACTGTGTTTTAACAATTAAAAGTTTTTACACAAAAGAGTGCCTGCCAAACCTCAGTCTTTTCAGAACCCCTGCATACAGGCATGACCAAATGAGAAAATGAAAGTTTTCAAAAACTGACAAGCAGCACTAGATTTTGCTAATATAATTTCTGTCAAATAATTATTTTTACACAAAAGAGTGCCTGCCAAAACCTGAGTCTTTTCAGAACCCCTGCACACAGGCATGACCAAATGAGAAAATGAAAGCTTTCAAAAACTGACAAGCAGCACTAGATTTTGCTAATATAATTTCTGTCAAATAATTAATGATTAAAGCTGCTATTCCAGTTCTCAATCTCATATTTGAGCTTTCCATTTTAGAAAAAAAGAAATCTTCTGAACCTGTATTCAGATCTCCCTAGATCGTTATTGCACATAATTGTTTTGCTATAAAGGACAGCACAACAGAAAATAGTAAGGCTTATGAATGTCAGTGTTAATGGAGTTTCCATTCTCTGTAATATGAGAAAGTGAAAAAAACCAGTTCTTACTTAGATTGTGCAGAAAAGTTGGCAGCAGCAAATATAGCAGCTTCAACTTCCACATTATCATGGGAATCCAAACTCTGGCGAATGCTGTGATGTGCATTCTTCCTTTCCGGAATGATAGATGCCATGCTGCCCAACATCCTACAGAAACAAATCACAGCAAAATCAGGACAAACAGTGATCATGAAGAAATTATGAAACCAAATAAAAATGCAGAAAAGACTGGCTAAAAGGCTATGTTGGTATAGATATGTGCTCTTTCATGACAGCTACAGAAATAAACAAATACTAAAAATATGTAGCTAAATGTAACAGGTTTTGTCTGTGGGTTTAATCAGTGCTTTGATAAAAATTTAAATATATTTTGATACCTTTTAGCTTGAAATTGGCACAGTGAGAAACTTACCGAAAATTCTTTTAAAATTAAGAGTTCACTACAGCATGATTTATTTCCAACATCTTTCACTGATGGTTATTAGTGAAAAAAGTGCAACACTTCTTGTGTAACTGCTAAAAAAGCCTATACTTTGCCAAAAATATTTCAAAGATACCTTTCAGACATATTTAGCATAATCCTGTTAAAGGAAGACTAAATGTGGGATTTATACTGATGGTAATTTTAGCTAGAGTTCTGTGCAAATATTTACATAGTTATCTAGCAATAACATTCCACAAAGTTTTGTTTAAGCAGCTCTCTTTCAACATGTTCTTCCTTATTGACACTATTCAAAGAGGAAAAAAAAAAATCAACAGAAGATTTTAAACTGAAACTGCTGAACCAACAGCTATTTTAACATTTTATTTGATGTATCCTGTGAATTGAGTAATTTAAGTATTTTTGTAAACTGAGAGGATTCCTGAGACTTGTAGCAATCTGTGAAGATAACCCTCAATGCCAGTCAACAATTGCAATCTTATATTAGAGCACTGAACAGGAACTACAAAAAACCATGCAGACCTATTGTATTTACAGATTTCTGAGACACGAAGGCAAGAAAGCAAAATCTCAAATGAAATACCAAGGAAAAAAGAAAGGGACATATGACCTAATCGATCAAAGGCCTGTTAACACCTCCCATCTCCCACTAGTGAAATCAGTAACAGTTCTAGATGGAAGTACAAAAAGAACATAAAGAGAGAAATACAAATGCTCTCTTCACATTTGAATTCACCTGCTGGAAGATGCAGTTAAGAGGATCATGTTGGATAGCATTAGAGACACAGACACCAAACCAACAGGACAGTGACATGAAAGACAGATTAATTTTATTTATTTTCCCACTTGATTCCCAGAAGTTCAAAGCAATCCATAATATATGAGCATTTCCTTAGAAGTTATTGATCAGAGATCAACTACCAGTCCCAGCTAGGACAAGGCTAAATGAAAAATAGGTGCAAGCATAACAAAGTTCATGTAAGTTTTGGCTGCAAGTTAGCAAAAACCATTCTGACACAAAAGGAAGCACTTTCACTTGGTCTAAAAATACCCTAGGCAAGATATGATATATTGCATATAGCTACTGTCTGGTTTATGCATACAACAGATTCAGTTTTCTTCTCTGGTGTACACAACATTTCAACACTGCAAATTCTGTCTTCTCTGGGACCATCCACCAAATTCTCTTCATAAGGGGTTAATAACCTTGTTCTTGTTATCACTAATCCTTATCATTCATGCCTTTTCAAGACAGATGTCTCTGTTTCTAACTCTATGAGGAATGTATAAAAAGCCTCCCTTTATTTCACTCACAGAATCACAGAATGGCCTGGGTTGGAAGAGACTTTAAAGACCATCTAGTTCCAAACCCCTTGCCATAGGCAGGGACACCTTCCACTTCACCAGGCTGCTGAAAGTCCCATCCAACTTGGCCTTGAACACTTTCATGGATGAGGCATCTATAATTATCTGGGCAACCACAGAAGTTGCAGTGCTTCACCAGACTCACAATAAAGAATTTTTTTCCCAATATCTTATCTAAATTTACTTTCTTTCAGTTTGAAGCCATTCCCCCTTGTCCTGTCACTACAGGCTCTCCATTGCCCTTGTAGGCTTCCCTGAGGTACTGGAAGGCCACAATTAGAGCACCCTGAAGCCTTCTCTTCTCCAGGCTGAACAATCCCAACTCTCTCAGCATTTCCTCACAGGAGAGGTGCTCCATCCCTTTAACCATCTCAGTTGCCTCCTCTGGACTCCCTCCAACAGGTCCATGTCCTCCCTGTGCTGGGGACCCCAGAGCTGGACACAGCACTGCAGGAGGGGTCTCACCACAGGGGAACAGAGAGGCAGAATCCCCTTCCTTGGCCTGCTGCCCAGGCTCCTTTTGATGTAGCCCAAAACACATTTGGCTTTCTGGGCTGCCAGTGAACATTGCTGGGTCATGTCCAGCTTTTCATCCACCAGCACCCCCAAGTCCTTTTGGGCAGGGCTGCTCTTGGTCTGTTCATCCCCAGCCTGGACTGATACCAGGCACTGCCCTGGCCCAGATGCAATACCTTGCACTTGGTCTTGTTATTCCAGACAACCACATTGAGAGCTACCTACAGGTCTGAAGTGAATCAGAATAATTCATCAGATTTGAAGTCAATCAGGACCACTCATGCCATACATACCGGAGCGTAATAGCCCGAGCAACCGGATCATTGCTGTGGATTACTGAGAAAACTCTCTTGACAAATTCATCCACATTTAGGATCTTCTCCAAGTGCTTCTCACTCTGCTGAGTAACTTTCAGCACACACAGCCTCAGGAAGTTGTTCCTGTTAGAAAATACACACATTTCTTTGTCAGGCTATTTTGAAACAAAAATTCAAGTACTTTAAATACTAAATTATTTAACTGCAACTTTTGGAACAAATTAAAACAAGGAGATATCTGTGCTTTAGAAACATTTGAGTAGACTGATAGAGTAAAATATTAACATACCATTGTTGTATTTTCTAGTTCACGTAATGTCAAACTAAAGCCCATTTCCAGGGAAATGAACCTGCTGACACCAGTGAGGAGGGGTGTAAGCAAATGCCTGTTTTGTGCACACATACAGATTCAAATACACTGGAAAAACACATTCAAGACTAAGACAGAGAAGACTTAATTACCACTGTCAAGTGCTGAGCAAATTTATTTTCCTTCCTGAAGATGAGAGTGAAGATTCCACAGCATCAGTGTTCACCTTTGTAAGCTTTTAAGAAGCAGCTTTGATTCGTATACATAAGCATCATACACATCACTTAGACAGCAGTCACTTGGAAAAGCTACACTTTGAGCTTTGTTAGAGATAACATTTGCACGTGTGATCATCCATCCATTTATCAGTTACGATTTGGGTGTGCTTATTCAAAACAAGCAAAACTTACACCAGTGAACTTAAACCAGTCAGGGAGAGAATCCTCAAACCAGGACAGATGGAAAGGAACTGTGTCGTTACCACTCACAGCCACTCCAGCCCACTAAAGGAGTGGAAATCAAGTTCCAGTCAAGCACAGGCGCAACAGACCGGGTGCCACAGGCCACACGACACGCCAGGCTCCAGGGCACTCCGAGGCACGGTGCGCTCCCAGGATCAGACTCGAACGGGCAGGAGCAGACCCTGTACAGGCGCAACAGACCGGGTGCCACAGCGGTGTCAGGCCACACGACACGCCAGGCTCCAGGGCACTCCGAGGCACGGTGCGCTCCCAGGATCAGACTCGAACGGGCAGGAGCAGACCCTGGGGCACTACTCACCCCACTCTGAAAACATCGGCCAGCTTTAGGAACGCCGAGTTGATGAGAATGGGGAACGGGTATTTCTGGAAGAGCCTGGGAAAACGAACGACGGCTTCGCACTGCTCCCCGAGCTTGCCAGACCTGAGGCCTAAAGGAGACAGCAGGAATTACCGCACTCCAGCCCCGGCTCCTGGATAAAGCGGCGCCAAGCGAAGCGCCCACCCCGGCCCCGCTGCCCGGGCCGGCGACAGCTCCGAGCCCGCGCGGGCTCACCTTTGTCCAGCTCCATGAGGGCGGAGTTGGCGTCCAGCTCCTGCTCGCCGTAGCCCGCGTCGGCCAGGAAGGACTTGCCGCTGGCCGCCATTGCTGCCGCCGGCCCCGCCCCGCCCCGCCCAGTCGGAGGAGGCGGGCGCGGCGCGCTCGCCGCTGACCAATGAGAGCGCGCGGCGGGCTCGGCGGTTTGGCGGGAGCTGTCGCGGCGCGGCGCCCCCCGAACCCCCTGAACCCGCCGTGCCCCCCGAACCCAACGTGCCCCGCCGCGCCCCGCCGCCTCGGGGCTCGTGGGGCGCTTACGGGGATGTCTGTCTCCTTGTAGGTTGGTGCTCAGCGCTTCCCCTGCAGCATGTCTTGGAGAGCTTCCAGTGCAGCCAAGAAGATGACCACCTGTCCTACGGGGAGACGGGAAAGCCGGTGCCTCCTTTCGGCTGCACCTTTTCTACAGGTAAAGTCGCCTCCTGAAAGACCTTTGGTGGGGCCCAGGGTATGGGCTCTGTTGTCTGCAGTTCCTTGTTTTAAAGTGAGCTTACTCCTGCCGTGTGCTTGTGGTAAACTTCGCATCGTGGTGCACCTAGATACTGATGGAAAGTATTCCCTCAAAGAAGCAACTGTCAAGCACTTATTTTAGTGTCTCATCTGTGTGTGTTTCAAGGTCTGTCCTCTTGGTGACAGTGTGAGGCTACACTGTCAGTGAGGTGACAAACTGGGCATTGTTCAAAATATATGAAAGCTGTAATAGGGTGGAGAGCATTAGGTAGAAATCAGAGGTGGATGGATGTTACCAGGCAGTTACACACAGCATTTCCCCATGATGGGAGAAAGGAGTAAGCAATGAAGCTCCCGGATCTTTAGGGCAAAACTTCTTCTTCATTCATTGTTCTCTAGTTTTGGCATGACATTTTACATTTCTCTAAGGTGACTTCCTGCTTTTTCAAGTCAGATAACAGAAAATGCTGGAGGCTGTAGATGATAGGTACTCTAGATACAGAAAACTATTATAGTGGGTAAAAGAGGGATCATCTCAAAAGTTGCTTCTGGAGCCCTTTGGTTGCCCATGTATAGTCATTCCTGAATGGAGCATCTAGGAAAAAAATTCTTGCCAGTATTTCTGTATTTTAACACTTAGGTTACTATGTAAATGCTGTTTATTTCACAGTTTTATGTTTGCTGCATTCCCTATTTAAAGCATCTGTGCTTTCACAAAGAGCTTGAGCATGATTTTGTGTTAGCTACATAACATAATATGTTTTAATTTCTTTTCAGCCCCAAATTTGGAGCACGTCCTGGCAGTTGCAAATGAAGAAGGGTTTGTCAGACTGTATGATACTGAAGCACAGACCACCAGCAAGCTCATCATTAAGGGTGAATGTTGTATAGAAGGTTATCATCGTTTGATGTGGCAAATGTGGGATTTGCTGGAATCAAAGAGAGCTTTTTGCAAGTCCTTAAAACATAAATTGTAGGCAGTACTTTATTCCTTCCACATACTTTGCCGAGTCTTCTTTACAAAGCAGCAGCCTGAATGCACTCTTTTAAATCAACAGTAGCAGGTGAATTGTTCTGTGTTGTCTTTCATGGCTAAGGCAAACTGTTGACAAGATTTCTGATTTTAATGTCTGATGCCACTTATCTTCTGCAAAATACCATGCTCTGATGCACTGAACTAATCTCGGTTTTTGTTTTCTTGTTAGAATGGCAGGCTCACTCAAATGCTGTATTTGACCTTGCCTGGGTGCCAGGGGAACACAGGATTGTAAGCAGTCTTTTGCCATCTGACTTTTTTTTTAATGCTTTGGCAACTGTGTACAGAAAATGACTTAAGCTTTTTATTTTTGCCTCTGAAGGTCACTGCTTCAGGAGATCAGACAGCCAAGGTGTGGGATGTGCGATCTGGCGAGCTTCTTGGCATATGCAAAGGTCACCAGTGCAGCCTCAAGTCAGTTGCCTTTTCTAGATTTGAGAAAGGTAAATGTTGATATTGCCTGTTGTATGTTTTTCCCTTCTTCTTTACCCCTGGCAAAGTACTTTAAGGGCTAAAAAAGGGCTTTGGAAACTGAGAGGTACCAATAGCACAGGTCTGAGCAGTGATCCAGCCAGGAAAGCAAAACTGTCTAGTTGGAATTTGATGGTGTCCTGATGCTAAAATCTGCACATTTCTGATCTTAGGCAAAGATAAGATAGGATATCTGCTTCCATACCCAAGTGTGTGAATATGCTTTCCATAAGCTGGTTTCTCTAGTGGGAATAAGAAAAGGATAGTAAGAGTAAGGAAACTAGTCAAAAAGCATGGCAAAACAATGGCCTGAGTTTTGTATTTCCAGGACTGGCATCCCAGGTGTTGGGACAGAAGAGCCAGAAGTACATAGATGGCATTGTACTGCATTCAGTTAATTAAATAAATGCTTTTGGAAGCTAATAACATTCTTTTCTCTCAGCTGTTTTCTGTACTGGAGGAAGAGATGGAAACATCATGGTTTGGGATACCAGGTGCAACAAGAAAGGTAAGTGAACTTTCAGATATGTATCAAAAAAGCTTGGAATCTCATGTAAAAGGACTGCTCAGATGGGCTTTTTGGGCTGGTGCTTTTGATTACAATGTAGGCAGCAGAGGATTCTCAGATAACTGTAGTGCTTTAGGTACTGTAAGAGGATGGAATAGGTATCTCTGCTATCTGTGTGTAATACATTTCTCCACTTTTCAGCAGTCCCAGATGTGCAGCATCAAACCACAGGCTGGTTTGATAATTGTGTGTAGGTCAGGAGGTGTGGCTGGACAGAATGCATTCTGCTAGGGCAGTGCAAAAGCAGATGAGATAGGAGAGATTGCTTAGGTCACAGACATCCAGAGGGGTGAGGAAAAGCTGGAAAGGCTCCTGCCAGATTAGGAAGGAAGGCAGAAAGCGTAGAAAAAAAGAGCTTGTGGGTGCTGGTAGCAGCTCAATATATTGTGGAAGCACCTCCTATAAATATGTGAGCTCATTCTACTCTTCTGCTTCCTGGAGCTTTTCCTTCTCCAGTCCCTCCCCTTATGCCATTTCCCAGTTCTCTGCTCTGCCACAGCAGTTTCTTTGCCTGAACAATGTCTTGCTCTTCCATCTGTATCAGGTTCCCTGGCTTTTCAAACAGGCAAGTGAAGGAAAAGTTGACTGACTCCACATGATTGAGGTGGAAGGTGTAGGGGAAAAAAAGTAGAAAAGTTGCCTTACTCCAGTAAGGCAGTACATTTCATAAGGTAACAAGAAAAAAAGCCAAACAGGAAATTATAAAATAGAGTAGAAAAGCACTGGAAATCTTCCAGTGAGCACAGTTCTGCTTGGGATGAGGTGGGTTGAACACTCCAGACCAGGATGCATGTGAAAAACAGACCAAGGGGTAACAATTTCCAAAGGCAGCCTGCCCAGATCCGTTTTGGTTTCATTGTCCATGCTACGCTGACTTCTAGTTTTTTGCACTGTGTTCTTCTCACTGGTTTTGTATGTAAGTAATTTTTGTTTTCAGAATACAGTAATGATTTTAAAGGTTAACCTAAGCCACCTTTTAGGTCTCATTCCAAGCTGATGCCTGTTTTATTAAAGCGACAGCAAAATTGCAAGTAAACTTCTAATTGAGATGTCTTTGATTGTTGGGGTTCGTTTTGGAGGGGAGCATCCCAGGGAGTCCCCAGAGGGCCCCCTAGGCTGAGAGTGCACTGGCAGCAGCAGGCAGGCAAGGAGACTCCACATGGCCTCTGAGGGCGCTGATTAGATGGGGGTTTATTGGGGATCCCATTCCCGGGAACAGCATGGTTACTGAGGGGAAAGAAGGAGGGGGAGCCTAGGGGAGAGAAGGGACAAGAGGGGAGGAAGGCTGAGAGGGGGGAAAAGGCTAAAAGGGCGGCTGGTCTTGCTCGCAAGGCTTAAGAGGGAGAATGAAAATGGGTGTGGAATCAGACTTGTGCCAATGGGATTACAGACACAGGATGGTTCAGGGCAGGACCACAGGCTTAGAATATACCGTACATTTTGGAGGGGTGAGACAGAGCATACCATTTAAATAAAATGCAATACTGCATTTGATTTCTTTCAGATGGCTTTTACAGGCAGGTGAATCAAATCAATGGAGCACACAACGTGGCTGACAGGCAGACTCCTTCCAAACTAAAGAAGAGGCAGAACCTGAGAGGACTTGCTCCCTTGGTGGTGGGTATCTGGGCAACAAACAAAATGTCTCTTCTGGGGACAGTGTTATTCACAGAATTCTTCCTAAGTAAATATAGTGAGAAATATGTGGCTTGTGTGTGTAAATGCTTCCATTTATATTTGCACAGGTAGGGTTTTTTGTCATGGTCATTTGCAATGGCTAATTTTAGACATTATTTAGTTGCCTAACAACCCACGTGCCATAAAAGCCAACTTTGGGCAAATGCATTGTGAAAATACATCTTCTTCCACCCCTCCTGGAGGAATGGAGTGGCCAGCATTCCCTTTTTGAGGGGAGAGATATGGAGAGTTGTACATTTTTTTTTCTGTCCTTTTTACCCCCCTTAATTTGATCAGGCACATTACTGCCTTACTGGAGTAAGACCTGATCATTTTTAATCTGTTAAACTTTTGGATGAAGGCAGCTCTCTTATCTGTGAGCTGAAAGGTGTAATCTCAAACTGCTGCCCAAACACTTACGTCTCAGCAATTTCACTGGTGGGAGTGTTCAAAGCATTGTTGTGTCCTAAATGACATCTGCTGTTTCTATGTTCTGCTGTCTGGCTAGGAGGAGGTTTTACTGGCATTCACATGGCCTTGAACTAAGCAGCAAGATCTTGCTGACCTTAAAAGAAAATAAAGTTCTTTTTTCTTCTTTTTAAGGATTTCCAGCAGAGTGTAACTGTGGTGCTGCTTCAGGACGAGCATACTCTTATCTCTGCAGGAGCTGTTGATGGGTAAGGAGGGGAGATGCCTGCTTTCCTGTCTATTCTGTGTGCGCAGTGGCATAAAAAGATTGGGAGATTTTTCTCTCTAAGATCACTCAGTGGCCAGCAAGGCCTAGAGCTACTCCTAGGTGGACTCAACAGCTATGCTGCCAGCTTGCATTGGCTTTGCTTCCTTACTGGAGACCGCAGTGCTTGACAAACTCTGGTATGTGGTAAATGCTCATTTTAGTCTTAGCTATGGGGCAGAATGAGAGCAATTCTTCCCTCTCTCTCTCTCACTCTATTCTCATGAACCTATGAGACCACACATAGACAGACTATTGTTAGACAGCCTTTATGGATGTGAGTGGGTGGGTGGTCAGAGCCTGGACATGTGTAGGCGTGCCTGAGAAAATGTTGCTTTGAGTTACAAAAGATGCATTCTCTTAGGTGCCAGATCCCTTGCAGCATCTTGGAGCTTGAGCAAACTGTCTTAATTATCAGCATGGAAATGATCCTCTTGGACTTGATTTTTTAGCAGGTTCCATGTGGTCAGAGCCTTTCTGAGGCAGATAAGATTGATCGTCCTACCTATGGTTCATGACAGAGACTTGCTCCCAAAGAGCAAGTAAAAAAATTGGAAGACTTAATTCTTAAAACTACAAACTAAAACTACTTGTCAGAAGTATAAATGCACCCATGTGTTTCCTTTTACTAGTTGAAGGAAGTTGGCTTCTAGGCTTTTGTCTTGTCTTGTGTTAGTTACAGAAGGCAGTGCTGCCTCCTCACCCATGGCCAGCAGAGCAATTGTTTGGCTTTCTGCACGGCTCTGCTCTGCTCCTGCTCAGCTGTTGTCTCCTTAGCACTGGATACTCCTCAGTCAACAGCAACCCGATTTCTGTGCTCTTAAAAGGCTTTATCAGCATGGAAAGGGAAATTAGGAAGCTGAAGACACTCGTGCTTTTCTATTCCAGTGTGATCAAAGTGTGGGACTTGCGCAGGAACTACACTGCTTTCCGTCAGGACCCGCTGCCCGTCAGGTCCTTCTGCTACCCTGGAACCAGCACTCGCAAGCTTGGTAAGCACTGGACATGGATTTGTTACAGTGCAGAGTGAATTTAAGAAGTACTATCAGTGACATTTCTTATCTTTATAGCCAATTGTTGATCAGACTGGCAAACTCTGCAGGGTATTTTGATTGCCAATATCAAATTTTCAAGTTGAAGAGTGAACATGCCTCACTTTAATATCACTGCACCAATGATAATAATGTGCAGAAGCTTCAGCAGTGCATTTTCATAAACAGTGGAGGAACAGTAGAGCTCTTGATGAGGAATTTAGCTAGTCATTTCTATACATGAGTAAAATTCATATTGAACTTTCTTTGCATTGTATCTTCCAAAGACAACAGAATAGACTGTGTTTTTATATTATCACCTCTTGAAACTGTTAGCAAAAATGATAGCACGCTTGTTCATGTTTCTCTGTCTTCTTTGTATCTTTAATGCCTTACAATGCCCTGATGCAACGCAGTAATTCCTGATTTGTCTGATCAATGTGGTAATAGTCAGTGTCACTCCCAGGAAGGTAGTTGTGAAATAATTTGCCTGCAGGGAAAGATTTTTATTGAATCTGAATCACTAGCAAATCAGAGAATGGCGTGTTCTATCAAGGCATGAGGGTTTCTCTTTATTTTTGGTCACTGCTTCTACAAGCAGTGACCAAAAATAAAGAGGTTGTTCCTGTTATCTGTTTGAAACTATCAAATAAATCACTTGCCTGTTCTGAAGGTGCAATTCCTTTCTAAATACCACCCTGAATTCTCATGAGAAAATGTAGATGTTATTCTAGAAACATTTCTTCTTCAGCAAACGCTCTGTCAAACATAGAAACTTTACCATTACAATCTCATACATTTTACAGATCCTTTCCAAATTTCCTTCTCTGGGCATTTTTTTGAGAATGTCTCTTTTCGAATTTTTTCTCTTCTGAAGAACTTCTCTCTTTCTCTGTAGGATATTCTAGCCTGGTTTTGGATTCCACTGGTACCAATCTGTTTGCTAACTGCACTGATGACAATATCTACATGTTCAATATGACAAGTTTAAGGACCACTCCAGGTAAGCATGATATCTGTGGAAATAGCTGCTAAAAGTGTAGATGTTACAGAGTGTAGAAAGGCACTCCCTCTGACAGAGACAGGGACCAGGTTTAACATGAAGGAAACCTATTCCATGTTCCTGTCTCTAAAGCTATGCAGGACAGATCCACATTTTGTGTTAAGCTATCCACATGAAATTAATAGCAGATACTGGTTTACCCAGACAGAGACTGATGGTAGTTTGCATGTTAGCTCTAGTTATCCAGTGAGGAATGGCTGCTCTCCAGCCTGAAGCAAGTTTGAATCCTCTGCTTGCTGGCAGTCACTGATTTGTCAGACTTTTAGATATGAATCCACTGAAAGTGATCACCTGATGATTTCAGATATTTTAAGGTGTCTTTTCAGTTTAACTTATACCACAGTTTCTGGAAGAAAGGATCCCCAGCATATTGAGGTGCTTTATCCTTTTGGATTCCTTCAGCTCTGCAGCTGTGACCTTTACATGCACAAGATGGCCCTGAGCCTTTGGTGCACGAAGCTGCTTTGCCACAGGCCGGTGGCAAAACTTGTTAGATGCATTCCAGCCAGACACATAATTTATTTTCCATTGCCTTTTCTCAGTGTCTCAGTTAACTGAAATTAAATGAACAATGTGTCCTTCTGTCTGCTCTTCAGGAAGGCAGTCTGGTGGGTGGGAATGCTTCCAGAGTGCAGAAGTGCTGCGAGTAGTAAATATTAATAGCTTGGTTGTTGAGGTTAACCCCGGGTGCCGCTGGCTGCTCTGTGGGGGTGGGCTGCCTGGCCTGTCCCTCACAGGAGCAGGCTCTGGCCATTGTCACGGAGCTCTTGCCTTGTGTGTGCAGCCAGGATGGATGGAGCTCCTGTGCCGTGGCTCCTCGGAGCGCGGCGTGCAGCTCCCGCAGAGGGCAGCGCCTGCCCGCCCTTGGGCCGCCCTCACCGCGGCTGCAGCTGCTCTCATCCAGCACTGAGGCAGCTCTAGTTGGTCGGGAAATCCTCCTGTAACAGCACTTGCTGCCTGGTCTAGCAAGGCATTCGCTGTCTTATGGTCACTGCACTGGGAGAGCTGTGGGCAAAAAGAATCAAAGGGTATTTTGCAACTCTTTAAAGGCCACTGAAGGTGGCCACGTGTCCTCTTGGTCTGTGGGGTATTTCCTCTGTGAAAGCCGCTACTAAACAGGGCTGAAGTGCCAGCCCAGCCTGGGGCTGCCCTGGGAAACTTGTGCTTTGTGCCCCATGAGAGGACAGGACATGGTGCAGCCAAGCACTCCAGATGACACTCGGCTCTCGTGCCAGCGGAAGGCCATTGTGGTAGGGGAATGTTGGCCATTTAGGGTGATGGTTTCAAGGCTTTAGCAAACACTACTAAGGCTTTAAATACAGGAGAACGTGACTGATGAAATACAAGTTTTACTGACTAAACAAAGCTCCTGGCAGTGAGAGGAAGGAGCAGCCAGTGCCTTTGTTGCCCCCTGTGTGGAAGAAGGCTCTTGCTGCAGGACTGCCCTTGTTGATGGAGCGGGACTGGTGATGGCGGCTGGGGGAGGAAGAGGCAGGGAACCTGAACCAGAGGAGTGGGGCAGCCCAGGTGAGGGCTGAGCCTGCTTGTGATGTGGGTCAGGTAGAGCTTTAATGAAACTGCCATTGGTTTGTTTGGGAAGCCTTAAGGGCTCCAGATGAATAATAAAAACTTCCTGCTGCCAGGGCCTCAGAGCAAAGGAGCAGTGCAACCACTTTCTCCAAAGGATATGTGGCTAGGCAGGAAAAGCCTGTAAGATCAGCCTTCCTTGCACAGCTGACTCCAGGGCTATGCATTTAGTGGGGAGTTTACTTACTTTTGTATTTTATTTTCTCTTCACAGTGGCAGTTTTCAGTGGACACCAGAATTCGACCTTTTACGTCAAATCCAGCACCAGCCCAGATGACCAGTTCCTGGTCAGTGGCTCGAGTGACTGCAACACGTACATCTGGAAGGTGAGGCAATGGGGGGAGCTGCTTTTGCTTTTCATGTTCACATAGAACACTCCCTGCTTCCCAATCCTACCCAAAGCAGCATGGGGCTAGCTCCTGGCGTGTTGTGCCTGGACTGTGTATGTTGCTGTCAAGGCTTCATGTAATTGCTTAATGTAAAACAGAGCTAACCTCCTGCCATCAGTACGTCTCTCATCACTGCTGCTTATTGCAAATTGCTGTTCTTAATCTGGTTTTAATGGGCATTAAAATCCTTTTTCAGTCCTGTTGATTCAGGCAGCTATGACAAGTAGACAGACAGTTCTCGTTTCATAGTTAGCAGTGGAGCACGTTAGCAGAAACCTAAAAGTTTAATTGTTTTAAAGGGCACTCTTTCCCTCCACCTCTTTTTTCCAGCTCCTGCTTCAGACATAGCTTTATCTCATGCTTAATTTACAGTAGTTAAAGCCTTTGTATTACAGCAAGGGCTCAGCCAGAGCCTTCAGCAAAATTCCAAAGCACTGTCTGACAGCTCAGGGCCTTTGTCACTTAACATCTTGCCATGACGTGTAGGAAATGCAAATGTCACCAAGATAGTAGCAGGCACCTCAGAATAAGGCATGCCTCAAGTTCTGTTCTTCATGTTCCTCATATGGGAACAGAGTGCCCTTACTGAAGTAGAACAGACAGAAACCACAGGCGACTGCCTCTTAAAGTTTTGGAATAACTTTTAGGGAATGTTGATTTGTCCATCCATTTCACAATGAGTTTGAAAGCAAAATACAAACCTCTCAGAGGAGAGGGTCAGCCTGCTGAGGTTGTGGCTGGAGCACGTAGCTTCTTTATTTTGGAGAACACTTGGAAGCAGCTGGGTTGCTCACTCAGTGGAGGCAGGAGTGTGGTAGCAGGATTACTGTGCCAAATGGTGTAATTTTAACCTTCTTTGTGTTCTGTGCAAATTCAGCAAAAATGCCTGTGTGAGCTTGAGTTGTGCCTTTTGCATTCACGTGTTTTGATACTTTCTTGGAACTAGGCTGGGACTCAGTTGAGGGTATTCAAGGATGTCATTATACCTCAAAATTTAAGCATTTGAGCACATTTAAAATGTACTCATGTACAGAAGGCTTCTGTTGCTATCACATATGAGTGACAGATTGTATTGCATATTTATAAAATGAATTATCAATTTTTTTTATTTTAGTACCATAGTCATATTAGAAAGTGGGACTTCCAGTGCATTTGTCTCTTTCAAGATCTGTCGTATTCAGAGACTTCTTAATTTAAATGTTGACAGATTTAACTCTGAAACGTATCGTATCTTTTCATGGCATGAGGATTTCTTATGCTGTGAATAAAACCGTGATTAGATTATGCATGAGTAGTTATATGTTATAATGTTATAATGACCTTAATGAAGAGCTCTTTCTGTATCTAGAGAGGAATAAAATGCAGAGGAAGACCTTTTCTACTTAGATGATGTCTTTGAGAAACTTTTACAGCAGTGCTACGTTTGTGTTTGGGTGAGAAACACTGTGGATGGAAGTTATTGCTGACAAGGATGCTGTTTCAGTCTGTTTTCATATACAAGTCACTTCCAGGCAATGAACACTTATTTTATTGTGTTTGGTTTGGTTTTTCTTTTAATTAAAAGTTCATCAATTAATGAACTCTCACTCTTGAACAACCATAAGGTTATACAAGCTGAAGAGCAAAGAGGTTTTTCTTCATAAAGATGGTGCCTATCTGAGGTACCTTCCTGGTAATAAAACAATGCCATTTGTGGATTTGTGCTTCCATTGTTCTTTCAATCCTTTGATGTGGATCACTCTCAGGAAACTGTATCAAGTTTTGCTTTGGTGTGTCCCAGCCCTGGAATGGAGGGGATTCTGTATCATATGGTGCACAAAACCATAGACACCATTTTAGGCTGCATCTTGAAAATTGATGTAACAGCTGTTTCCAGTGAGGAGTAACTAAAAAAGGTCTCATTACCTAGGTTTCTCTTTTTAACCTTGCCACAATAGGCCTCACTTCCCCAACAATATCCTGTCAATTCAGGCACAAAAAGCAGCCTGTGCTGTGGGTAATCCTGACTTAACATGCAGACTGCCTGACAGTCTTCTGCCAAACACAGTGGACACAGCCATAACTCTGCACTCTTCTTCACTTCACAGGAATATAAATTGGGTATAGTTCCTTTAATGTACACTGCTATAGTGTAAAACCACCGTGTCCTAGAAAGAGTAATTCCCTTCCTCTGCTTTCCTTCCAGCAATCAGTGGCTACTGGACCACTGTTTTGGCTGTTATGAATGTATATTAGCAAGACTGCTATTAACTGTAAGTGAAGGTGTTCTCTGCACAAAGATCTCCTGTTTATTCCCTAAATAAGGATTTAATTTCTATTGCATGTTTTGGCAGTGAAAGGAATGCTCTGACCAAGGCATTTAGTGGATATTTAGTCAAGTAATTGCCTCTATCATACCAGGGGGAAAAAAGGGTCCTGTTAAGATGACCATATTTGTATCAAAACAACTTAAGTTCTGAAGCTGCAGTTTTGCAGGCTGTTGTGGATGATCTACAAGAGAAAAATGTAAATCAGTAGCCTTCCCCAAAGTCTTGCATCTTCCTTTGGAACCTATATGTAATGTCTACTCCTTTCCCCAGACAGTAAAGGATCTGTTCATTCCCTTATCTAAACCTTATCTAAATCCCCTTGATAAATCTCCCTTATAATGTCACATCAATGATGGTGACTCTCAGCTCCAGAAAGGATTGACTTGGATAGAATCAGAGTGTGTGTGTGTGTTTTCTCCTTTGGGCCACTTAATGCTGGCTTCAGCTCTGTCTGTCACTTACAGGAGCAGAAGTCAAAGATAAGTAGCAATACTGTAGAACAGGAGAAAGATTTTTATGAAGAGTGTGAGAGAAATGGAGATCAGTTGAATGAATGTGATTGAGAGAACTTTCCTATGGACTCTTAAGAGGGTCTCTGCTGCAGCTGGCTGGTTGGAGAAGGAACAGGCACTTGCAGTTTCATAAATGCCAGTTCTGAAGCTAGTGGAGGGTCATCTATGAGATTTTGTTGGCAGTGGTTTCAATTTTTTAATAAACCATTGACCTGTGATTGGGACATTGGTAAAATTGTAGCAGAATATATTTGCCTAACCCAATTCAGAATATGAGCCTCCCAGCATCTCACCTGGAACAGGTAGAGGTACTTAAAATGCTTGTCTCATGTTCTGGGCTGTCAGCTCTGGAGGCAGAATTCCTGTGTGTAGCAGGACTTGAACAAGTGTTTCCATGAACTGCTGCTGAGGAGTTCCTCAGTTGTTGCCTCATGATGACAGGCTGAGAGCATTTGATTTATGCATTTCAAGACAGGAAAGATGGGAAGTATCCACATGCTTTACAGGTGGGACATGGGGCTTTTCTTGAAGACGTATATTAGGCTGTGTCCCTTCTGACTGTTTGCTTGTTTTTCTGTGAAATTTTTAAGGTTTCTGAGCCCAGCCTTCCTCCATGGATGCTCCTTGGTCACTCTCAGGAAGTTACCTCCATTGCTTGGTGTCCTTCAGACTTCACTAAGGTTTGTCTTCTGCAAAATGGTTTTTACTGGAAAACAGTAGATGTGAGGTGACAACAGCATTTTTTGGGGGGGAGGAAAACTTTAGTCAATCAGTTCTAAAATGTTCATTTAGGAGACAGAAATCCAACCTTGTCATATTAGTACAATGTATCAGATATTTTCAGATAATTTTGGCTAATTGAGAAATCCTAAGAAATTGAAAATGAGAAAAGACCTCTCCTGATGAGAGTTTGATACTACCTATAAGAGACAAGACTATGAAATAATTTAATCAGGGCTTTCATAAGCCAAAGACTTGGTTTTTTGTTCCATATTCACATCTTCCTTTCCCTCTGACCACCATCTGCTAGTCTTGTACAGAGTGGCAAGAAGTTTTGAATGCCCTTTAAAAACATATGAACACTTTTCATTGTGACCTCTTTTCAAAATCAGAGCTCCTTTTATGGCAAAAAGAGCCTCCAGTGAAATTGGGTCAGTAGTTATGCACCAGGTGTCACTGAAAGGAAAACAACTGAAGTAGGAAGTTAGTTCAAATGTTTGGCCTAGCTCAAAACTAGAAATAACCCTGAAAAATCCCAAGCAGTGTCCTAATGATAGCCAGATAGCCAGAGTTTCTTCCACCCCACGATGTTGAAGAAGTCAGCTTCTTTCCCTAGTTTCCATTGCAGCAGAGCTTCAGAAAAGCATTACAGTGTAGGAAGGTGGGAGTCTTGCAGGGAAACATCAGGAATTGTTCTCATTGTGTAAGATGCACAATATGAGAACTGGCATTTCAGATGAAATCTGTGATCTAGAGGTAGCCCAGCATCCTGATTGTGATGTGTTGGAAATGCAGACCAATTCAGCCTTTCACATTGCTACTGACACAGGAAAGAAATAGTCAGCCATTGTTCAGATGCCAAAGCATGAGGAAAAGTGAAAACTATGGAGCTAAGACAGATCAGGAAGCTGCTTCATGTGATTTGAGGAGCAAGGTTGCTTTTGGTAGGGACAACATTAGTGTGACAAAAGTCAGAGTAGAGACACTTGCCCCATTCTGATTGCTGTGAACTTTCACTACAGCATTTCCTTTTTCTTTCTACTTATTGATTTCTTGCTGAGTCGCCAGCTAATCTGCCTAAAGACAGCCATAAAGTGTGGGTTAGATGGGTGCTGCTCCTTTGGCCAGGATTCCAGAGATCTTTTTGGAGCACGTGATGCTGCAGTGGGGCTCTGGAGCTGTGTTCCTGGCAGAGTTGGGTTCTCTGTCAGATTGTGCTGACATTTGACTGAAGAGATAGCACAGCTCATGCAGCAGCCATCCAATGTCACCCTCTTGGTGTACTGCAAATGTTTGTCCCCAAGCAGAAGAGGTCCTCAGCAAAAGAGGCAGATTAAGATGCAGGTGCACAAAGGATCATGGCTGCTTTTGTCTAACGAGGGTTTGAAATCCCAAAATGTGCCATACCCTGAGCAGAGCAGTGTTTCTGACATAGCCATGCAAAGCAAATGGTTGCTGGTGGCTGAGATTTCTGTAGCAGAAAGATATGGGTGCAGCAGCCTTGCCTGCTTTAAAACAAATACTGGTGCCTGGTGCAGTAATGAAACAAAGTTGGGTTGTTTTCATTGTTTAATGGTCAGTCTTGTACCCCTTCAGTCAAGCTTCACCATCATTCATACTGGTGTTGTGTGTTGGATGGAGCTGCTCTGGTTCACTCAGCCAGTGATCCATAGAATGTGCCCTGGTTACTCTAACACACAAATTTATACTTAGATTGCCACATGCTCTGATGACAACACTGTGAGGATTTGGCGTTTACAACGTTGTCCTAAGGAAGAGAAATCAGTATCAAGGAAAGCCAACTTGGTGGGCTGGGTGGTTCAGAAGAAACCAGAAGAGCAACATGGAGCAGGTAAGCCCCCTGAGCTATCTTGCTCTGCAACATGGCTGCTGAATTTTGTCTGTTGGTTCTCTGTACCAACAAAAGCCTTTGGCTTGTCTTATTAGCCTTCTGAGGTTTGTCTCATATTAGGCAATTACTCATATAGCCAGACAAGAACTTCTACTTGTGAATACTTCTGCCATCAACAGGACAAGCTGGCTGAAGTGGCTTACAAGCGTGGCAAAGTCTGTATGGCCAGACTGCAAAGCAAATATTCATTGACACAGCTTGTTGGGCAGCCAGATCTTCAGTGGGTTTCAGCAGAGTTTGATAATTGAACAGCCTAAGGAGATGTCACTGTAGCAACAACTCACTTTTTTTTTTTTATTTCCCTGTCAAATACTAACTGAGAGCAGTAAGATCATATGCTTTTTCTAGTTTGGTAGTTTACCCAGCAAAGGGCTGACAGCATATGGAGAGCCTTGGAACTCTGACCTGTTTGCTTCTGCGTATAGTTGAACTGTGCACAGAGTAATTTTTCAGGTGCAGCTATCATTTCTTCAGCTTCAGTCAATGGTACTGACCATATACAGCCAAATGAAATGTTGTGTAGTGAAAGTACTTTAAAAAAAACATGTAGACAATCATGATGATTGTAATGCCCCAGAATTAATCTGTTAAGTCTAGTGAAAAATGCAGTACCTTTCTACAAAGCCTGGGCACTCAGACAAGTTGTGCAGCATGTTCTGAGCTAGTAAGCAGATGTGTAGAGAAGGGAGTCACTAAGCAGGTAGTACCTTAGAGCAGAAGAAAGGAACCCTGATCATAATATTAACTTTGATTTGTCTGTTACCTGCATTTCGTTGCAGTAGAGAGGTGAAAGGAGGAGAGCTGCCCTCTCCCCAAAGTGAAGAAAGATGAGCTTCTCTGTAGAGTAGCTCTGAAACTAAGAATACAGTAGCTTCCCAGCAGCTGCTGCTGTGACTTCCTGCATTCCACCTATCTTTTCGAGCCACCCTCCAAATGAATTTCGTCTTGGCTAGCACAAATAAAGGCTGAAGGTTTCCAAATCCCACTAATGGGATAACATTACCTCTAACCTTTCACCAGTGAGTAACAAGTCTAGCAGGAAGTTTGCAGGACAATGGGAGGGAGAGTGCCAGGACCACTACATAGCTGGTAATTGTTTTGTGTGTGCAAAATTGTTTTGTTTTTTGAGCCCTCAGAGAGCGCTCAAAAATACCTTCGTGTTTTAGTGCCAGAAAAACAGAAATAAGCATAGGTTTAAACCAAAACCATGAGATCTAAAGTATCTTATCCATGAAAATTTTATAAGTCAGGTTTGGCAATAATGCCATTAAAAAATACTTATTTCTCCTTGCTCTTGCTGCATTAAAGTAACACAGGAGGGAAGAGGAAGTACACAGACACTGCAAACACAAGAGCAGGCTTCCTGCTGACCTTGGCTCTTGAACACAAAACACGTGCTGTTAGAATATAGGAGTTGTCTGCAGAGACTAATTCAGAGCTGGCAAGCAGAGGACTATTTCAGACCTGCTGGGATGAATCTAGGTGGTTCCCCACCCATTTCTGACGAACAAATTAGGAGATTGAGGTTGTGTATTGATTGTTGACCTATATCATCAAGTGTAGCAACCAGAGTTTCCTATTTGGCAATTACTTCTGTGGTTTCTTTAAGTTGTACTACTTTCTCTGTGGTTTTGTGTAACCAAATTTCTGGAGCAGGCCTGTGCATAGACAATTTGTGAATCTTAAATCTGGAAATTGATAATACTGCTCTAAAAGATTTGTGGCAGAGAAGGTCGGAAACACCCAAAATAACCTGCTTTGGTGTGATGCAGGTTGACTGCAGGTATTTGCAGTATGGTACCATGTGCAGTGGCAGCATAAATGGAAACAGCTTCAAACTGGCTTGGTAGGAACCTGAATCATGCATGCAGTCTTAGGGAAAAAAAAAAAAAAAAGCCTGATCTTCATATTCTTTATCTCAAATTTGTGTTTGCTTCTTGGCATGACACTCATCCTACTCCCTGGATAACTCTTTTTCCATTATCCAGTGTGTCCGCAGCATAACTTCCAGACCAGTTTGGGATTCAAAGTGCTCATATGCAGCTAGTCATGCAATATTTCTGCTGAATGAATTTGTCATAGTCATTATGGATCAAGAGGTGCTGAGCTTGCTGTTTTCTTCCCCTCTAGGAGCTTAGATTTTTGTGAGCAACTAATTTCCCAGCTGAGTTATTATTGTCTTGTAAATGCTCATTAAACCAAAGATTAGGAGAAGAAATCTTGGCAGTTATATTTGCATTGCCCAGATTGAAGCAAGTTGTTACGAAGTAGCATATCTTACCAGGAAAGGAGCCTTTAACTCTGTTTTTTGTGTTGAAGTTATTTGTAGTGGGATCTTTTAATATGGGATCCTATTCAATTTTGTTCTGATGCAGCACTTGTATTTTGGATACTTGTTAGATAATACAGTGAAAGGATCAGAAGAGTTTTAGTGTAGTAAGTAACCAGGCCTGTAGGTGCTCACTCAACATGTTGTTTGTGAGACAGCCTAGCATTGCAAAGAAACTGGCAGGTTGCTCACACTAGACTTCTCATTGTTCTAATGAAGTGCTTTATAGTGCAGTACTAGTGCTCAAAGAGGGGAGTTTGGATTAAACTCCTGGTATACACAAAAACTGTAGTGCTCTTGTGCCCAGCAGTGGAAGTGCACAGAGTAACTTAAGGCACTACCCCATTTAATTGTATCACCACGAGTTAGGTGAATGAGAAAGCAGGAATCTTACAGACCTACTAATGTGTTCCTGTGGGAGGGGGCTGGAAATAAAAACATCTGAAAAAATTAAAATAACACTTTCTAATATTGCTGCAGACCGAGATCCTTGCTGTGTATGATTCCCACTGTTGTTGGTGAGGTCCTTATCTCCCTGCCTATGACTGGTGTTTCTGAGTGTTCAAAATTTTTCTTTTACAAGCAGGGGCATTTATATCTTGGCTGGTGAGCTCAGAAGCCACTGTGAAATACCTGTCAGGGAATCATTTGTTGAGAGATTTTATTTCCTTTGGAATTAAGTCCTTGTTCAGTAGATGAAGAATTTCTCAAGCTTCCCTGGGTGTGGTAAATAACTACTGTCTCAATTCTAATACAACATTGCAGAAAGTCCTCTAGCATAAAGACAAGAGAATGAAACTATGTCCTTCACTTCAAAAAGTCTTTAAAATCTGCAGCCAGTAACACCTGACTAGGAGCTTTATTCAGGTGCTAGGGCATCACAGTGTAAGGCTTCCTTAGTACTGTAATAAGCCGTGGGACCTGCTTGCAGTACCTTTGTCCATCAGCTCAGTTATGGAGCTGTTAAAGATGCAGGGTAGGTGGGGACCAGCCTTTTTGCCAGGCAGTTGTCTGGAAAAGCAAAATGTAAACCTCCAGCAAGGCTAGATACACTTGGAACATTCAGGATTGGTTTTGTCTGTTCATTTTGGCTGTAGCTCATGTAAGAGCACTCAGTGCTGAAGGGATAGATGTCAGACATTACACAAATGTACTGCATTATGCTTTATCAGTGTAATACAGGATTTTATACAGGACTTATACCAGTTTAACCAAAATTAGAGGGATGTGTACAGCTTCTTAGTTCAAAAGGGTATATGTGAATCACAGGGTCAGCACTGATTCATCTCCTAGTTGGAAGGGGTGTTTTCAAAAAGACTGTCCTTAATCTGCTGGTTTGTGTTCCTCATCAGACTACTTATTTCTCCCCTCCCAGGGCCACCAGCCAGCCCACACAGCACTCCTGCCAAGGCCCTGGCAGCGGGCAGTGTGTGCATTTCCCCACCACAGCCTGCTGCCTGTTCTCCCACTCACTCTGGAGACCGTCCACTGCCCACCAACACGCCGACTGCCGCTCTCAAAACGCCGACCAGCAGAGCCTCCACCCCAGCCAAGCCACCTGGAACCAGCCCCTCTGCATCCCCCAAGCTGATCCCTTCCTCCAAAATGTCCATCAAACACTGGGTTACAAAGACTCCGTGCTCTTCTCCTCCAGAAGTGGAGAAAAAGGCTCCTTCTCCTAGAAAAGCCCTGGCAGAAGTCACTCAAGTCACCCAGGGTCTCCTGGAAGCTGCTTGCCCTCCTCAAGTCCCACAATCTGAAAAGTGTGCCAAGAGAAGGCTTGACTGCAGCAAGGAGGCTGATGCAGGGCAGAAGTGTCTGCAGGACTGTAGCTGCGTGACTGAGCTGGACCATGCAGCTAAGAAATCCAAGCTGAATTTATGTCACTTGGTTGCAGACCAAAAAGTTTCTGATGAAGACGCTCTCAGCCTGGCTGACTTGTGTAACGACCATGAAGGCTCCAGCCACGGCCCAAAAGAGCCGTCCCTTTCTGGAACCCCTACTAATCCATCAGGCACTCAAACTTCCCCTGATCTTTTCAGATCTCCACGTGGGAAAGACCCTGAAGTAGTAGATAAAGAGAACAGTTCTCCTGAAAGAAAAAATTGGTTGTCCGCTCTGGGAGAGAAGTTACAGACTGGCACAGCTGGCAGCCAGAGCACATCAGACAGACCCCTGTCATCCTGCAGTCCTGGTACCAAAAGAAAGGACTCTGTGGCAGTGGCCACTTCACCGAAAACTGTAAGTAGGGCAGCCAACAACTGAAATAAGTTCTCCCTAGCTGCCCCTCTCCCTTTGTTTGTTCCCTCCTGCTCAGACACAAAGAATTATCTGATCCCTTTGACTATGGACAAAAGGGATGATTTCTGGCCTAAATAAGCTGGATACATTAATGCTGTTATCTGCTAATCCTGTCCACGCAGAAACAGAATTTTTATGGTGTGTCCTTCATTTTCAAGGGACTTAAGCTACACAGGAGCTCAGAGATCCTTGCAGCTCCCAGCTGGATGTTTGAAGGATGTAACCATCTTAAGTAGAGCTCTGCTCTGAGAGGCACAATATTGCCAACAGCTTTCCTGGCAGATCTCCTGTTTATGTGTTCACCATCACATCTGCCTGTTTATGTTACTGGAAATCCACTTAAATATTGGAAGAAAAAGCTAAGTTCTCTTCCAGCTCAGGTAGTAAAAGAATTTGTTACCCATGTTAAAACTGTGGGGCATTAAATAATGCCTTCAGTTCCTTCAATGGAAAACTAGAAGAAAGCAAGAAGTGTGCAAGAGTGAGAGGGCAGGATTTGACCTACATCATCCTAATTTTGGTGTACAGGAGGGCTGGGACAGAGCTCATCCTAGGATCTGAAATTAAAGTTAAGCTTATAAAGCAGCTAAAAACATTGGTATGAGGGCTTTACTAGGATATTACATTTACATTTTTTAAAACAAATCAAACTTGACTTATACCTGCAACTCCCAAGTCCTCCAGTGTCTTTGACCAAGTCTCATTTCAGTAAATGTTAGGTAAATTTTCAGTTATCCAATCTTAGTTGTACTCTTGAATATCTGATGCTAAAAGTTGTTGCCATCACTGAGGCTTATCTCATTTCTTACCTGATTTTATCCCTTCCAGCACTTCCGCCAGATACAACCTGGGCAAACCACTGGTCCTGAAATTATTCATAGCAGCTGGACCCTTCACGTTGTAGTTGTACCAAGAAAGCTTGGTTATAGGAAACCTACAACTACTTGTGACTACTTGTGCTTTATGCTGTATGTGTTTAAACACAAGACAGAGATATTTTCCCTGGAGAGAGATTACTATAGAACAATTACCTTTCCTGCCCAGTGTGCTCTGGTTCAGATTTTGGGATGCTCCTGTCTTGTTCTCATAGCCTGAGGAGATGCCAGGAACACCCAACAGCATTCATTGAATTTGCTGTATCTTGGAAATCTGCGGCTCTCTTACCTGCTGTAGGGAAGCTGAAACTGCAGCTGGAGTGCATTTCTCATGGCAGTGGGACAACCCTAGGATTTAGACAGTATTGTAGATACTCTTACCTGTGAGACAGATTGTAGTAAAGAACCTTTCATTTACTCTCTTAGTTGGGAAGCCAAGCAAACTGGGGCAATGATGGACGGGAAACTTTTGAGATCCCTGCAACATATGAGCTGTTCACCTAAAAATGTTTCGTGCTAGTTTTGCTTTTCTTTCTTGCTAGGCTGCAGCTACTTCAGTTTCCATGAGGAAGATCTGCACATACTTCACCAGAAAGCCACAGAATGACTGAAACAGCGTGTGGTGCTTACACCTGAGGAACGTTGACACCAGGGTATCAAGACCAGACTTAACAATGCCAACAACAATGCACCAGGATTACACAATTTGTTGTCAGACCTTCATAGAGTCGAGGTTTTAGTCTTCCCATTGTTAAAGCTGTTTCAGTTGAAGTGAGTTGAGTGTGTAAAATCTACACAATACTTCCTCATGGTCTCGTTCTGAGAGGATTGTGGTTCTCGTTAGGGTTGTGGTTTTTCATAAACAAAGTATTTTCTACATGGCAACTGTTCTGGTCCAAGGACAGACTCAGCTCTGCTATGTATTGTTGACAGGCACGTATAGGTTGTCAGTTTATGTTACTAAATCTGTTCAAACTGTTACTAAAGCTGTTCAAACTACACTACTCCTGCTGGTTCTCATTTTTCCCTCTGAGTTATGTATGGCTCAGACTACAAGAAATAAATGTGTTGTCCTTCAAAGAGCAGCTTTACCCATAATGAACTGGTCTTCATCTGCACTCCATAAAATGCCAAATACAATGCAAAGCATGGGTTGAGGGGAAAGCAAACATGAAAGAGTTGATATGTAATTTCTTCTAAAATTACTCAAACATTTCATGACAGTTGTTTTATAGAATAATGCATTGTTGATATCAGGACAGCATGAACCCTGAAGAAAAAAAGCAAAATTGCAATTGAAGATAACCTTTAAATTTTAAGCCTCATTCTGAGTTCCATATTTTTCTAATCAGAATAACTAACTTTCCATCTTCATTGGTGCTTTATGGAAAAATTCCAGGGACTAAAAGTACAGCAGGAAGACACATTACTCCAGTCTTGTGCACCTAGACAAAGACTCCAAGATCAGAAAGCATTATGTGTAATGAAGTCTGAATACCCCATCTTAATTTTTCCATATAGTATTTTTAACTCTGTTGAGTCTACAACAGTTCTTATTTTTGACGTTGTTCAGTTTTGATTTAAATGCTTTGCATGATTTCAGGTCCACTACAGTTGTACATAAATTGTTCTAGAGTTCAGATACTGTGAAAAGACTGACATTGAATTTGTTTAGCTTTGTCCTTTGGCTGTTGGCTCAGGTTACTCACTTTTTAGTCTGGGTTATAGACATTTATACTATATTAGATCTTCTATCCTGTTTGTAGAAAGCCCAAACATAGGACAACCACCTTGTTCTCTTCTTTCATGAGCTAAAGAGATTCTACATACAAAACCCAAAACAGCCATTGGAGTGCTTCATTCCTTCACATTAAAGAGCCACAGTAGTAGCTCCACTTACATTAACACCAAAGCCACTCTCTGTCTTTACTTCACTCAGATTTGTGGTTTACTTCTCTTGTCTGAAGAATGACTGAATCTTTTGGCAAAGCATCTTCAACCACCCACTTCTGTGCCATCCCTGGATTTTTTCATTTGGGTCATAAATTATGTAACTCCCTGGTTGCCTCATGAGTGTGCTCTCACGTTGTATTGTGAGTGAGGCAGAGGAGGAGATGGACCCAAACCCAAGCAGCAAAGACAAGGCTGACCTAGGAGAGCTGATAATTCTTACATCCACGTGCCTATAACTGTGACAAATTGTTTTGGTTGGGGTTTTATCCCTCTAGTTGTAACATCATTATGAAAAAAATACCAGTTTATTCTCCTATTCCCGTTCTTGCCAGAGGTGTTAAGTATCCAAAAACCAGACTACTGATAGTCTGACTGTAAAGCCAGCTCCAGCAACAGCAAGGTAGGCTGTGTTGACAGGAGTTTAGCAGATACGGCCAGAGTGTATTAGTGAATTATTCAGTGTCGCCACCATTATTTCCTGCTGATTTTCATAGATTCACTGACAGAGGAAGTGATAGTTTGTATACTGAGATCAAGAGATCCCTTGGATTCTTGAAAACAACCTGTGACTGACATAACTGCAATGAGTTCTTGTTTGCTTGAATGGACTGATTTGCTGTTGGTAGCTGACAGCGAGGCAATTATATGAAAATTGGAACTGTTACATCATAAGGAATTGGCTGTTTGTACACATCCAGTTGTTTGAAGAAGCAGGACTGGAAGAGTGATAAAGAGAAAGCTGATGTTTGCACAAGTTAGTAGGGGGAAAATAATCACTGTAAGTGTGAAAGAACAAAGTTCATTGCATAAGACAGGCAAGTGTCTGGAGAAACTAATACTCATCCAGTTAGATGCTTAGAAGAAAGAGCAGGGCCTGGGAGGCCCATGCTGCACCTTTGTATCAGACTCACATCTATATACTCCTATTTTTTTCCCCTCTGTGCAATGGGACAGTTGTCCATGCTTGCCAATTCATTCTGCTTAAGAGAGGGTGTGAATTTGCAGGCTGTTCCTGATTCTTCTCTTTGTGGACACTCTTCTTCCACCTGTTTTGATTTAACCCAATCAACTCCTGAAAATAGGTCAGTTTTGAGATGACACAGTATGGAGATCCATCGGAATGAGGTTTTCTTGTTTCAGAATAAGCCTGAATAAGTTTCAGGGTTTGCACTGGGTTGCTCAGAAACAGCTATTCTGAAAGAACAGCTATTCAAACAGCCCTACAGTAACTCCACTACGGAGGTGAATCTTGAAGAAAGTAACGCGAGAGTGCTGGGGGAGTGGTACAACATTAAAGTAAGGATATTCTCAAGCATGAAGGCAGCAGGAGAAAAACTGTCAATGAAAATTAATTTCTTAACTTCCTCATCTCGGCACCCCAGCTGTACCCGTTAGAAAGCATGACACAGAGAAGGGCTCTGGTTTTGAGTCACACAGCCTGTGGTTTGGCTGCCGATGTGTTTCTGCCCATCCAGGGCTGAAGGGACCCCTGCTGCTGCTCCTGCTTCCTGGTGGCAGAGCCCTCCTCACCGCTCTGCCGAGCGAGAAAGAACTGCACTGCCTATGGGTTTGTACAAAGCCCTGCTGCTCTGTTTTCCTGCCGTATGCGGCCCATGGAACCGCGAATATTCCCGCTCCTGGCCCCAGAGGGTCTGTGGGGCTGTGCCTGCATCCCTGCGCCTCCACCTCTGCGGGCACAGCCCTGCCCCGCAGCCGCCACCCGCTGCTGTCCCCGCTGCTGCCCCTGGGTCCCCTCCTGTGCTCACACAGCTGAAGTGCTCAAAAAGCCATCTTCTGGCCGTGCTTTTATGGGCTTGCTGTGTACCCAGCAGGGACACCACCTTGGGCCACCCTTACCACAGGGCGTGCGTGCAGCCTGCCTCTCATCTTCTCCCTGGGAGGCGGAGAAGAGTGAGTTTTAAATACAATGGTGCGAGTTCAATGCTGCTAAGCAGAGCCTGTCTGATTGCAGATGCAGCTGGAGCTCCTGGCTTAGTCCTGGCACAAGCAAGTTAAGGACAAAAGGTCTTCACTCCTCTTATGCAAAGAGACAATTTCTGTGGCAGCTGAGGGCAGCATTAGTATTCATGCCTTGGCTGGTTTGGCAGCAAGGCAGCTAACTTGATATTAACTGTGGTACAATGACTGGGGTTTATGGGCTGTTTCTTAATATATACCACAGGTAGCCAACCAAATGTTTCTTAATCCTATTTTCCTTGGGGTACCTGCTGCTCCAACAATGGCCTTGGGTTTTTCTTGCAATTGTGGTGGTTTTTTAAGAGTCACAGGCAAGTTCCCTACTTGGCTCATTTATTGTCGTGTTGTAATTTTGTGTTGGTTTATTTTCCAGATGACCAAAGTTCCTCTTAAACTCAAGTCATCTGTGTTTACAAATATTTTATTGTGTAATATACTAAAGCTTTTTCCCAGCATTTGAACTGGACCCTAGATTTGCTGCTAAGACATCTCCACATTGTATGCACTAGAAATGTGTTACCCTGAATGAGTAATGGAAATTATTTCTGCTCCAGGAAGCAAAATGATGCTAAGAGAAAGAGAGAAGAGGGTTTATATGGAAACAAGAGTATATCCTCTTTGCTCAGGCCTGCTGAAATGCTCTCTCCCCTGCCCCCTTGTCGTGTATCTCACCACAGCACAAGGGTGTGCCAGAACATGTTCCCACAACCTTTCAACCCATTCAGCACAGCCTGCAACTTTCCTGGCTATTTTTGTGTACTCCACTCAATGATTAAGTGCCCAGGACTGTGATAATACATCCTTTCAGCACTGGCAACCAACAAAATGCAGTCTCAGCTGCTCACAAACAGCTTTTCCAGTTCTTCTTCCTTATAAAAAATGGATTATTGATAGATTATCCTTCTGATCATAAGAGTGTAAACTTGGAGATGTGTTCTTCCTGGCAAGGACTTCAGCTCTTAGTAATCAAGGATTATTCTTGTTGATAGTAGGGGTTCTGCATCTAACTGAAGCCCCTTGCAGGCTGCCTTTGCCTGCTACAAACAAAGTGTCTCATCTGCAGCTGAAGATTAACCACGTCTGGGTCAAAACAGGGCAGCTATTCGATTTTACAAAGTGTAGCACACAGTGGTTTCCTGAACACCTCTGGTTGTTTAGTGGTATTTCAGCTTTTCTTCAGCTTCTCAGCCTATTTACCAAACAGGCTATAACCCTGCTGATGATTTATCCTCGGTAGAAAAGCCCCTTCTCTCTCTGACATCTGAGTTTTTCCACTGCTTAGCCACACTTGGGTGCTGTGAACAAGATTAATTCAATCTCACATTGACCAGGTGAAAGGGTTTACCATAATTCACTGTGGTACATTGTTCTTGTCAACACCAGAACAGAGTCTTGTGGTCTGGGTCGGGGTGCAGTGATACCACCTCAATAAACTATTTCAGTTGCTCCTTCAGGATCAGCTGACAGAGACCAAGGCACAGCACATCCATTGCAGCTGACTGACAGCTTGCTGGCAGCTCACAACTCAAATCACGCCTGCTTCACATTATAACCTGGTGAACTAATAAAAATAAAACAACAAAATGGAGCTCTACCACTGAGCAAAGTAGGGGAGCATCAGCCACTGCAATGTGGGCAGGATGTGACAAAGTCAGACATCGGAGCTTTTGGTTCCAGCTTCCCACTCACCCTCAGGAGTGCCTGAACCCTTGAGGAGCCTCCATTGCCTGAGCTTCCAGGCAGGCTCTGTAGCAATGTTTGAAGGAGTTTGTCTTCCAAGGACCTCTGGCACAGTGAACATTTCAACATAAAGCTTGACTCACTAAACAGAGCAGGGGTTAAGTGTAGGGATCCACACTGAGGATCTGGCCCTGCACATACCTGCAGAGATGGGTGATTTTTGATGCCAAGGTCACCTGCTGGGATCAGGGTAAGGCAGAAGAAGAAAACATTCCCCTGATGTGCTGTCTCTGATTCTACAAGACATATCCTCTGAGCACCACATGGCAGCCAGAGGAAAGAAGCAGAAAAGGAGGCTGTTTTGGGACCTGTCAGCCATGGCCAATAGGAGTTATGCAGGCAAAGGGCCAGACTCCCACAGATATAAATCAGTCAGGCTCCACTGACATCACAGCTCTGCTTGTTCACGCTAAGGGAAGGTGTTGCTCACTGTATTTCAGGTGTTAGATTCTAATTTATACTCACTCTCTATCCCACTACAATGTAAATCACATTCATTGGCAGGGTCTTGGCTGAAGAGGCTGCTGCATTATACCTCTGGTTTCATTCTAAAAAGTAAAAGCAAAACCTTAGCTTAGCCCTTCCAAACTATGGTATGAAAATGCATGCCAAAACTGTGCTG